GGNTTGGGCCCCCGAGGGGCAGGAACGGACGGAAGTAAGGTAGTTGACGAGCCGAGGAGGGGCGCCCCAAGTAGGGCCGGGGAAGGCAAGGAAAGCCTGCCCGGCACCGGACAGGCAAGGGGCGAGTCCTGCAGTAAGGTAGGCAACCGTAAGAGAGGGCCAGAGAAAAGGATGCGCAGAGAGAGGGGGCGCGCACCGGGTAGGCAGAAGACACAGTCGGATGAGGAGGATTCGCATAGACGAGGCGTAACAACGGCGAAGGAGGTCGCCGCTTCTGTGGAGAAGCAGAGGCTGGGTGGAGGCGAAGGTGAATGGCAAAGTAGCGACGAGCGAAGTTACCTGTGGCACGAGCCGAACTAGAGGCAACGCGGCGGAGTCTTGGGAACGAGGTAGAGAATATGAATGGTAGGTAAGAGAGTCGGCATGAGGCTGGAGGCTTACGTTTTCTGCTGTCGATGACTGCATTAGGTTATTTTCGTACTCTCTACTCGATTGCCGTGCGAGCGGCCCACCCGCCCTCCCACTAACAGCCAAATGGCTGATCGGAATTGTCTTTGAAGGGTTTGGGTACCGCGGGAGTGTGGTCGCAGACGCAATGGCCTTCCCCACAATAAGTTAGTAGTGAGTACGGATCACGCGATGACGTTTAAGCAATGCCCGGATGTGATGTATTTGGTCCAAGCCATCAAGCTTTGAGTATTTAAAATATACTGCTGCTGTATATCCTCTTTTATCTAGAATATTTATGTGATTATTCCATATCGTGAACCCTTTCCGATTATCTCCTTTGTGATATGGGGAAATGATTCTCACCCGTTGGCTGTCATCCTATCTTTGCCGGCCCGATATGTAAGCTATGAAGCTCGATGCAATTACGGGAGGCTGGGTTTGCTGGCAAGGGCTTTGGCGCCGTGCGCACCGCGACACCCAAATGACCTTGGGGAATAAAGGCCTGATGGCCTGGTGCGGTAAAAAATTACAAAGTAAACTCTCAATTCGCGTTATGACCTGGTACTCCCTGTGTAAAAGTCCCAGCCCAACGACAGCCACGCCGTTGAAATGCCTGTGGATTCGTTCAAACAAAGCAGCTTGACAGAAATGCCATATGCTAAAAATAATAGTTGGTTGCACCATACAAACCATACCCACTTGCTATAATCATCGGCGACAGAGCTCCCCTGATGGTCACTGTTTTGTACACGAGTAACTCTGAAAGGAAAAATAACAATGCAACAACAAAAGAGAACAGCGTCGTACCTGCGGGAATTTTGAAGAAGTCCAAGGCAACGGTCAGGGCTGCAAATGCCAACCGAAATATTGCCATTTCCGATGTCTTCAAACGTACCATACACTGTCTTGTTAGATGGATCCATGGCGCATGCCAAGCATAAGGCACATGTCATCAAAGTCCAAGCCGCGAATAGCCGACCCAGAAGATTGCTCACTGTACAACCCCGAGCATGTCTTAGCATCGCGAGCACTCCTGCACGAATACATCTTTTGCGTCCAAACGCCTTACCTAGCTCCGGCTTCCGGTCAAATACCTGGCTCTTCAGTTTGTTCGGGGCGAAGATGCCGATTACGACTGGAGACCAAACAGTCAGCAGAAATTATCTCATAATACAAGAACCGACATCTTGCCTACCAGAGTTTTCCCAGAACTAACCTGCTAGCATTCGCAGGCTCGCCACTACTACCAGCCATCGCTTCAACGCCATCACAGGATCCATCCTTCCCCAGAGGTGCTGGACTGGACTGAATGAGATCATCAACCTCACTCTCGGGGCCAGCCAGCCGCACAAGAGCACTTGAGGTGCTGTACGGTCATCGTGATACGCAATTGTACGAAAAGCCTAGTGTTCGTACGTCAAACCCCGGTACTCTCCATCTACACCTGGCCCCCTGCTGCGGATAAAAACGCCAGAACCGGAACTCGTAACCTTAAACTGTGCAGACGCGGCCAAACCTGCCAAAAGCACGAACAAACTCGAGCATCATCGCTCCTCCCAGACCTTGCCTCCAGCACACTCTCCCCCGCCGCGCCAGCAGTGCCATGGAGAAGCGTGCGCACCCTGTGTTTGCTCCGATACGACAGTACGATTATGCCCCAAGGTAAAGTAAGCCCGCGTAACGCAACCAAGCTAAAAGGTCATAGTCTCTTTCTGAAGGGGAGGAATCGCTCCCTGAATCGTATGTCTTGATCATGAGTGCAACATACAATGGGGCACCTCTATTAACGTCAACGCGCTACGAAATAGCGCAGTTTCGAGCAGTGCGTAATTGATCTTGTAAGGAAGGAAGGAACAAACCTGAGGGACGCAGCTAGTGCAGTTAGGTGTCAATTACAACTTTTCCTGCGCGGTAGTCAGTCTGTCGGTCCGTCAGGGGCAACCCAAGACCCCTCTAACGCACACCCACCCAACCACCCTGCATACATAAATACATACATGTGCCCTAGCCTGCTCATGCCAAGAAACCAGAAACACACATACGCACACGCTCATGCTTACATACCCATTCGGGAAGGACTCGCTGTCTTCACTATCTAGTCTTTAGTCATTAACGCAATGTAGTGCATGCCAACTCTTAACTCACCGCCATACGACGCGTACGGCAACGCGAAAACACAACCTACACGGCGTAAGCTCCATCGCACCCCCGAACCCGAATCGGAAATCGTTTGCCCCTTTGCCCCTATCCCCCCCTTCCAACCGCTTGGTAGGGCGCCGAGGGCGGCGGCCGGGAAAAGGGGGAAGGCAGAGAACAGTTGAAGAAGCTTCAAGCCACAACTTTCCTACCCAGCTACCCTTTCACCTGTACCTTCCCCCATTTTACATTCAACACGAATCACGCGCACATGCATGCATTGACGTACAATACGCCCAAAACTAGCGTGTATACATACGTACCGACATGCATGCCTACATACATACATACAGACAGACATGCAGACAGACAGACGCCCTTCGTTGAAGTTACTCAGGTACCATCCACCTTGCCATTTCCTTTCCACGGCTCGGATTATTAAAGCACACACACACATGACCTATTGCACAGCACATCGTCCCCTTCCGCCCACAGGCTCCTCCTTATTCAAGTTTTGGACTACGACCGCAACCGCGACTGCTACTGCGGGGCGCGGGCGCCCTGGGGTATGTACCTACCTACCTCCGAGATAGGGGAAGAGGGGGGAAAGGACGGGTGCTGTGTATTGTCCCCAGCATTTACCCTGCATAGTGACACCTGGTGGCCGTACGGCAAAATGTTCCGCACCCTCATGCTCGCTCCCACGACCCGTTACCCCTCCCTGCGGACACGTCCGTACACGTACATATACATAAGGGACAGACAGATAGACAGACAGGCAGACACATCGACGTACTTCTATGCACACAGGTGAAGACAAATGACCTAAATCATCCTCGTACTGCAAGGATCCACCAACCCTGGAGCTTTCCTCTTTCCAGGAGTGAGGTGGTTTTTGTAAAACCCCTGAAACCAAAACCATGTTTTCCTCCCGCACCCCCCCTCTCCCCACCGCCCCCTTTCCCCACACCTTCCGCACCTACCCCCCCATCGGCCGTTTGGGTCCGATGCACGGCAGGGTCCAATTGTCGTACAGGAACTGGGATATAAAACCGGCATAAAAAGCATCGGCTCTCCAGACTCCCATTCGCACACGCACGTCTTCAACATAGCAAAACACGCACAGGGCCCTTACCCCGCATATGTCCCTTCCTTCCAGTTTTCCCCTCTTCTCCCATCCCCCAGGAAGGCGTGCCCCCCCTTAATCACTGTACGTGTCCCAAAACACACAGACGCGTCTAAAACTACCTTTCTTTCTACTTCCACTACTCCTGCTACTACCACGGGTATTACTCCGGCTGCTAATACGCATATAGCTACCTGCACTGCTGCTGCTGCTGCCACCCCCCCTCCCTCCTCCCCACCCACCTATCCCCCCCCTCCACACCCCTTCCCCCCGGGAAGCCTGAGCAGCGCTATTCCAAGGAGGTGTTGTACGGTGGCGAGTACGTCACCCCCGTTGAGTCCCAGTACGGTAGCTGCCACGTGTACGGCCTGGGCCTCCTCCATGGGGGCTGCTCTGTGGTGCTGTAGTGACACGTTGAGCAGGTCCATGTCCGCGGGGATGCCCTTGGCGTGGCAAGCCTGTGTGACGCAGCGGTGATGATGATGGCAGTGGTGATGGTGATGATGATGATGATGATGATGATGTGGTGTTGGGATAGGAAATTACGTGATGATGCAAAGGTCAAAAAAACAGCCGCCGACATCTGCTCAGAGTATGGAATGTGGTGGACTGTGGTGGGGAGATGGGGAGAAGAAATCACAAAAGAAAACCAAGCGATCAAGTTCATCATCTGCCGCGGCGGCTTCTCGACCCCCCACCCGACCCCCCCCCACCCGCTCTACCCATCTTTCCCTGCCCCATCCCACCCCCACCCCCTGACCCATTGTGGCGGTGGGTGCGGGGATGTGAAGAGGTGCGACTGTGGGTGCGGGGATGTGAAGAGGTGCGACTGTGGGTGACAGTGACAGTGACAGTGACAGTGACAGTGACCGGTGCAGAAACTCGTGAGTGTACATGAGTGCGCATGTGACCGAGATGGGAGGTTGGAGAGAGGCATAATCCCTCCCCTCGACTATCCCCTCCCAACCCAGCATTTCCCGCCATCATCATACCGCGCCTCCTACGTCCCCGCTACACTGAAAATCCTCCTATCGCTGCTACCGGGACTGCTGCTGCTGCTGCTGCTGCCCATCCACTCCCGGCGCTCCCTCCCCTCCCCTCCTCTCTCCCCCCTTCCAACACCCACATTCGCGCCACTACTCACCTCCAATAGCATGTGTTTCATGGCCGTGTTCCGCCGCTGTACAGCGTCCACGCGGGCCAGCACCGCCTCCAGTTGCCCGTTGAGGCCCTCGTTGTCGCGTTGGAGCCGATCCACCTCGGTCTGCATCCGCTGAAGCTGAATGCAGCGGACAGAGGGAGTGAGGGGGAGGGGGAGTGAGGGGGAAAGACGAACCACGAACGAGTGAAGCTGCTGCCAGGGAGTGAGGGGGAGGGATGAGGAGAGGAGGGAGGTAAGGGGTTAAGGGAGAGGGAGGGAGAGGGAAGGGGAGGGAGGGGGGTAAGGGGTTAAGGGGGAATCACGTGCGAGACAGTGGTAAGTGAACTGTCGGAAGGCGTCCAAGGTCCGACAAGTGAGGGGAAGAGGGATCCGGAGGGTTCAATCCCACCAGCTTCGCGTCCCACAGGCTGATAGATTGCTGGCGGCTCGCCACCCATACTACCACCGCCATCACCACCACCACCACCACCACCACCCGCAACCACCAGCAACCATGTAACCCCCCCCCTCCACGCCGCTGCTGCCCTCCGCCCACCCCGGTGACTTGAAAACTAAACACCCCCGCGACCGCAGCAACTGCACAGACGGCCTGAGACATTCAGCCGCCGCACCCACCGCCGCTGCTGCTGCCGCTGCCGCCGCCACGGTGGCGGCTCCGCCGTTGCGGTCCAGTGTCCCTTCGTCTCCGCCATCCCGTTCCCGCCTCAACCCCCCCGCCGCCACTGCCGTTGCCGTATTACCGCCGTAGCCATCCGGCGGCTGTCCGCCGCTCCGCCCCACCGGCCCACTGTGCTGCCGCTGCTGGTCCTCGCGTACTTGTTGTTGTTGTTGATGATGATGATGCGGTTGATGCCGTACATGCTGACGCGGTTGCTGGTCCTCCTCCCTACCGCCTGCCACTCCGCCCCCGCCACCGTCGCCGTCGTCGTCTAGATCACGGCCGTCAAGCGCCGCCGCCACCTTCGCCAAATCTAACAAACTCTGAGACCAGGATCGTTCCGGTGGCCCACCGCCAAAGGGTCCACCTTCCCCCCGGGACAGGTGGTGGTGATGATGGAGGTGGTGGTGGTGGGATGAATGATGGTTATGCTTATGGCGCTTGGGACTTCGGGCCGCCGCTGAGGAGTCCTCCTCCGCTGCTAGCGTCCCCGCCGCCGCCGCGGCGGCGGCGGCGCCGTACCGACCGGAGCCATGTGAGGAGCGGAGCAGTCCGGAACCGGTGGTGGCGGCGGCGGCGGCGGCGCTGCCGCGTGAGTGACTTTGAGCTTGCGAATGGGTGTGCGAATGAGGCGCACCGGCGGCGGGGGCGGCTGGACCGGCGGCTGGGCTCGTGTTTGGCGGTCGAGGTGGAGGTGGGTGCAGGTTCGGTCCTGAAGCGGCGGCGAGCCGGTGGAGGGGCTCCTGCAGGGCTCCAAGAAATCCAAATTCAACGGAATAATAAAAAATAACTAACATACATACATACATATAAATCAACGTAGTAAAGTAATTGTGCTGCTTTCTGTGCTGCTTGGCGCAAGGGGCCGGTGTGTGCGTATGTATGTGTGTCCCCACGTTCCTAGGCAGGACGGACCTCATACATACATACATACATACATACATACATACATACATACATACAGTACGTCATTTCAGCACCTCCAGCCCTTTCAGTAGATATACGGCTCGTCTGCACTACGCGGGATATAAACGACGAGACCAGACACAACGACTACACCACAAAAAATGTCGGTAACGTGATCATGGGCTTCATGTGCTTCACTTCCTAATGGTACCACGGGTCGATGTCTTCGTCATCGCTTCGGACCCACTAAGCAGTTTCGGACTTTAATGATGACGCCTTCCGGGAGGCAGTCCATTCCTCTGAATTATGCCCCTCGTCATCATATCATTTCCCCCAATTTAACCCTTTCCTGCAGGCCCTCCGACCGGCGGCGGCTCCTCGACGAACCAACCTCTGCCTGGCCTCGCCCCAGAACACCCAACCCATGTACCACTTAAGCTACACCCAAACCACCCAACAGCCTTCCGCCGACCCCCGGGCGGCTTTCCCTCCCGTCACCGCCGCACCTGAAAACGCTCAATCGGCCGTCCTCCTCCGCCGCCGCCACCGCCGCTGCCGCTGCCGCCGCTGCCACCACCCGCTTGTTGTGTCCCCAACCGCACGGCCCCCACCGCCGCCGCCGCCGCCTCACCCGAGCCTTCACTTCCGACACTCCCCGCTGCCGCTGCCGACGCTGCTGCTGCGCCGCTCAGCTGCCGTACCACCGCCTGATGCAAGAGCTGATTGGGGTGATGCAAAGGATGTTGTTGCGGGTGTTGTGAATCGTGCATGTGTGGGTGAATTCGAAGAATTGCTCCTGGCACGCCGCTGGTAAAGGAGTCTCCGGCGGCTATCTCAGGAACGCCCGAGGTCGAAAGAATGCGTTCCAGCGTAAATGTACGGCGTAAGGTCTGTACGTCAGGTGGCGCCACGTCGATGGCCTGCATGTCGCTGGCTAGGCCCTCCACAAATTTCTGCAAGGACATTACCCAGCGGGGCCGGGGGGGTGCATCAGGGCGCGCGGATAAGTAAGTGGAGTGGCGAGCAAAAGGAAGGGATGGGTGGGACCGACGAACCACAAACCACGAACGGATGGGAAATGGGGGGGAAGGGGCAAAGGTGAGGGGGGAATCATATGCAAGGAAACAAGGAAGGAACTGCCGGGGCGTCCAAAGTTCGCGAAGCTGCTGCTGGTGTTCTAAGCGATGACGAGGAGGGGGGGGGTAGCGGAGATGGTCGGGACCGGCATTGGGAGATAAAACGGTAGAGAGGAAACACGTGAGTCCGCGGCAGGAATGTGGAGTGGTGGAATGCCGGTCATGCTTAGTCGCAGGAGGCCAGTAGGAGCGGTGTGGTGGTGCTGGGGTTGGCTTGTGGCTTAGGTTGGGGGGTAGGTTTGGGGTGTGAGGGACTACAAGGATGAGACATCGAGGCGGTGAGGAGGGGTGGGTGGGTTTGAGCGGGGTGCAGCGTGTCTTTTTCGCCCTCCTCCGCCTGCACGAGTGCTGGGCGTGGGGTGTGCGGGGAAGAGGGCCGGTTCTTTTGCTGTTTGACCGATCGCATATCGCGTGGTCGCACCTCCTCCGGCAGCGAACGGTTCCACTCCAGTAACAAGTCCTGAAGCTCCCGGCCTCCGGACAGTGTCTCCCGAAGAATGTTTTCCATAGTGTTTGACCGCATGATAGCCAGCGGACCGTCCTCTTGACTGCCTGTCAGGCCTTGCAGCAGCAGCTGCTCTAGCGTGTTGTTGCGCGGGCCAGGCCCGATGCCGGAGCGTAAGCGGAGGGCGGGCTCTTGAGATGCAGCTGGCACAGGAGGTATTTCCTGAGCCTTTGTCTGAAGGCATAGAAAAACATTGTGCGTGTGGAAGTTAGTTTTGGGCAGTTTGGTCACTTCCGCAAAGGTGGTTGAAAACGCGAACAGCGGCCTTGACCAGGCTAGAAGCAGCTGGGCTAATAACTTAACAAATAGATATATGCTTGTTGGTAATGTGGCCTTGGTTACACTCCAGAAACTGCTGCTTATAGGAGTGAATGACATGAACAACTGCAGTCCGACATGAACATGCCTCCTTCATGTTACCTTTTGCGACATAATTGCTGCATAAACCTGCTCAAGAGTTGGGGCCTTGGCCAAACCCCCGGTCTCGTCGTGAAGCCCTCCATCTCCACCCAAATTTTTGTTATCCATCAAGACACCAAAGTTATGTACCCAACTCATAACTAATGTAGGTACGGGCTATCTCGTTTTGCAACATCAAAAGTGGAACTTTGTCCGTACGAAAGAGTCTGTGGCAACTGTGAACCGTCCCTCCGGACCATTGTTGTTGCCTCGGAGGTTTTGTATTCTCTACATTAGTGTTCTATTCGTCGATAGCAAGCCAGAATCTTACCTCCTTACGCCGGCAGAACCTTCTTCACTTTTATCCTCAGGCTTTGATGGCGTCCGTGGTTTGCTCAAGGGCTTGCCCCTTTGTTTCTCATTCGTCTACAACCTTCTCTGGGCGATCGCTTGCTCGCACTGGCCGTGTTGCGCTTGGACGCGTGCAAGCAGTGAAGGCTCCCGCTGGCGTGACCATGCCACCAAGGCAGCCAGATGTCCCACCTCCGAAGAACGGCTTTGTGGATTACGCGGAGCGCTTGAATAGCCGAGCTGCGATGATTGGATTTTTTGCTCTCCTGGCAGTTGAGGGCTTCTTCGGTAAAGGCCTGCTGGACATTATCGGGGTCGCGACGGGCAACGGCCTTGGCTTTGAGCTGTGAGTGCACTCAATAATTAGAAATGGCATAACAAGCTTCCTCCTGGCTTTTTTGTGCGTACTTAGTTATTTGCGGGTCCTGCGTGTGGGCTGCGATGTGCCTGGGGTTGCCAGCCCCCAGAACTTTTGTACTCGGGCTGTGCACGCAGTGTGTATTCCCTTTGCCATGTTTTGTGTGGAGCTGCGATTTCAGATTTGATGCCCCTACATACCGGGTGTGCTGCCAATTTTCGTTTTTGAACTGAATGGTAGGTATGTGCATCAGGAGGATGCGTGTATTCTTGGCAAGGTGAAAACATCAGGAAGTCCCTATGCTTCCCTGAGTGTTCCGTTTGTGTGTGTGTCTGTTTGGAGTCTGTTTGCGTTGAGGCCATGATGCTTCTGAGGCTGCTGAGGGCAAGCGTCCTGAGCTCAGAGTAAGGGTGGTGCACGTGGGGCGTTACAAGACGCAAATGTAAGACTGCTGCGGCCGGGCGCCCTACAACAACCATAACCACCACCACCACAACAACAATGATTGCCCCACGCCAGCTTGCGGGGGAGGCATGCAGGCAATAACACCGAAACGAAGACTCCCCTCAATTTCAACTCGATTTGGGTTTCTCCAGAAACACGTCATTTCTTTCACGCATCATTTTTCATCATCATGCACACCCGGATTCCACTACCTGGCACATCGCACGCGCTCCTGTCGAGGAAAAGGAATTCCCTGATACACAGCAAGGCTGTGTCGAGTGATACACACCCAGGTCTCAGTGCACTGGGCACCCCAATCCCAGACGAAGTGCCGGATTCTCGAAGATCCAACAGCCTGATCCGACGCTTAGTCGTCCTTGGCCCTTCCCAGTGCTGTGTGAAAACCGTTTTTGTAAAATGGGCTTCATCTGCTTAGCCGGGAAGCCACATGGTCTCTGGGGTTAGTTCTTTTCCAGTTATATTTACCATTTTTAAAAAGGCTTGTGCGCCAAGCTCTCATCTCAGCTCTGAGGAGGAAAGGAAGCCGCAGCCATCCTGACTATTCCCGTACGGCACCATGTTGACCCTAACTCCGCCCACTGAAACGTGCTGTACATCTCAACAAACGTAAGCATTTATTTCCTGGGCTGGTGCAGCCTCAATCGCCCCGGGTTCCCTATGTCATGTCATGATTCGTCATGCGCCGTACGATGGCGGTGCCAGGCCTTCAGCATGACGCCCATCCTCGGTTAACCCCTGCTCCGGCCCCCGGGGTACGGCACGGCACGGACCGCTCAGACCCATGTATTTATTAGTTGGAGAGCTCTACGCTCCCTGGAGCGATCTTCCTCCCTTTCCTGCTTTCGCCGTTGATGGCTGGCCGGCCCTCTTCTAGCTCGGTTCTTACGTCCTCGGGAAATGTAAGTCATTAGCCTTTATGTGGAAAGCAATGAGGCACAAGAGGCGTCGATACCGACGACGATGAAATATAGATGAAAACCAATTACATTAAATTCAGTACGCGGCACATAAATACGAGCAACGCTCTCCACCTCTTCGACAGTACTTTTCTCCTCCTCCTCGTCCTCCCCTGTACGTCCTCAGAGTCTACACAAAAATAGACATCACGCAGGACATAACAATTACAAAACATATATCTGGCTCCTGGCGCACCTTTCGATTAATGATTGAAGGCCCAATACAGCGCCCTGCGGCCATGCAGCCCGCGCGATTATGACTCAAGGCCATACAGGCATGCCGTACAAATCGTACAACAAAATAAAGGTCGCCTATTGACATGTGCGCCTATTTTGCAATGGCTTAATGCAGCAGAAGTTTATCCGCGGCGTGATTTGCCGCAACTGAACCAGTTTTGGTAAGGAGGGGAAATCTGAGGGCGAGCAGTTTTTCCTCCGAGGCCGATTCCAGGGGGATCTAAAGCGCAATCAAGACAAGCCATGGGGCAGTATCGCCAAAAAAGCGTGGTGGGCGAAAAAAACAGAAACACACGTACACACAAAAAAACACAGAGCCATAACACGTGCATGCAAAGTAAATAGTTTACAAAGCCAGAGCTGGACCAATTGATACAAGTCAAGTAGGGAGAGACACGCAAACTTACAAACACTAGTATCAACGAATGGGGAGATGGCCGAAAAGAAATAGAGAGAGAGTGTGTGTGTGTGTTGTACAAAGGGCTGAGGACCCCAAACACCTGAGCCCCATACGCGGCAGTTCCGCCACCGCAGCCCGCCACACCCGCACCACCACACAATTCCAACAGCGGCATCATGGACACAATACATAGACAACCATACATACATATTGACACAAAAAGAAAACTTCAAGCCTTGTGTTCCCACCTTCTCAAGCTAATTCCATAAAATGCGTGTCATAAAACAATGTTTGAGTAAGAGGGCAAGGTAGAGGGAGAGAGAGAAAAAGAAAGCGACGCGACGCAAGAGACCCGCGCAAAAAATACACACACATACACAAAAGCGCGCGCACAGACACACACACACACACACGCAAGGGCAAAGATTACGATAAATAGAACCAAAAAAGCTTAAAACGACTACAACAAGAACAACAAAAAAACAAACGCTGCTAATCTCCTGGACGTCATTGAGCGCCAGAGCTCTCTCTCCGCCGATGCCCATGTCGACGCCAACTCCGACACCGAAGCCCGCAAGCCCAACAAACACAGCAGAAAGGCACATATTCACAGCTAATCCCCCTTTTGCGACTACTGCTGCTGCTACTGCAGACGTGTGCGCATGCGTGTGTGTATGTAATCTATCCGCCACACACCGTCGCCCCCGGCCACTCAATTACCACGACACCACACAGTCGTACATCAGACGTATTTCCACAGCCACACACAGCAGCACACAGCTGACTGAGAGGCGGCAAAACAGACAGCCTCACTGGTAGTGGTTAACTGCCGCCAACAAAACCACTAAGCCACCACTACCCCCGAAAACACTCCCTCACCCCCTTCTGGCCCACCTTCCCCCGCGGGCCCTCCCAAACCAAACCAAATCAAACACCCGCAATCCTCGCAGAAACCACCAACCGCCTTCCCGTACCAACCACCAACCACTCATCCACACGCTGCGGTGGTCGCGCATCTTCGCAGCTGCATCTTGCAAACCGATTAACGATTAACATTCCCCGCGGCAACCCAACCAATGTTGCAAGAACGAAACACCCCAACTCAAACCCGTTCTCATGCACCTCTAGGGCGTGCCAAAAACCTAAATGTTACTACTGCTGTTACTGCCTCTTTCAGGGCTTCAACACACCAGCTAGGAATGTCTGACCCATGATGCCATCATTGAGTGCTCCCGTAACGTTGTCACACTCCTCTTTCACACACACACACACACACACCTCGCATACATAAATACATACATACATACATACGCTCTAACCTGCTCATGACAAGAAACCAGAAACACACATACAAACATGCCTCCCTACCCGCCGCCGGGATGAGAGGGTTTTACTGATGCGTATCAACAACAGCAGGCACACAACAACAACAATCAACAATAACAACCGTCAACAGCAATAACACGGGGGTGAGGGAGGAGCAGAAGGAGCGGCAACAGCTCGGCATGTCGCCGGAGCTCTACATTTTACAGGGTGCGTGTCGTACATCAACCATGGAGTGGTTGGTTAGCTTCTGCAGGCGCTAATGCTGGTGCTAGTGCTCCAACGCCGTCCCGATATGCCGTACTGTGCCGCTATGGAACAAAAGCATGAAACCATGATAATGATGATGATGATGATGGCAAAGATGATATGATGGAGAGAATTGACATGAACACCCCGCCGACAGGGGCTCTTTATGGCGCTCAAGATGAAATGATTTGTGGGCGCAACACCATACATATGTGGGGGGCCCCGAACAGCCCTTTAGAATGCTTCGCCCAGGTCTTGCTCTTCATGCCGTGCACGCAGTATCCACCGCCGTCACCGCCTTCGCCATCGCTGCCCCTGCTGCCCTATTGTTGCACGAGCCCACGCAGTCCGAAGTCCGCAACATCACTCTCACTACCAACACCACCACCACATCATCATCATCATCAGCGTCGTCACTTTCCCCAATCCGTATCCTGATGTATTCCCCAACACACGCTGCCCACCTACCCCACTCACTTACACTACCATGACCATGACCATACATACCGCTACTGCCACCGCTACTGCTGCTTTGCAAGTGCTGCTACTGCTGCGGAATGATGCCACAATCCTGAAGCCAATCTGATGATATTTCTGATGGTTCTACTTCCACTGTTGTCCTATTTCACTGCCGTTGCTACCGCCGCTGCTGCTAGTGTTCGCGCAGTGGTGTTAACGCAGTGGTTGCCGCAAAACCGGGTAAACTCGTGCGACCCTAAGCATTCGGCCGCTCGACACCCGCTCCCCCCCCCATCCGCACACTCAGCCACGGAGCCCTCACCCAGCCTCACCCCGACGGCGGCGCCCCCCCCGACTCAAACACACAAGTCCCCCAGGGGGAAACTGCCCGCCGCCCTCACCGGTCCCTTCAGCCGCCCACAGCTGCCCCCGTCACCGCTTCCCGTGCACTCCCACACACCCACAGCCTCCCCGTCGCATCGGGGCATGCATGTGGGCCCCCTGTGAGCCCAGGAGGCCGCATGCGCACATGCACATGCACCCGCCCTGGCACATGCACATGCACCCGCCCTGGCACATGCACCCGCCCTGGATCTGGATCTGGTCTGGCCTTACAGGTGCCACCACATGTGCGACCGATATGCGCGGGTGTTGAGGATGATGGGGATGGTGATGGTCGTGATGATGGCAATATTTCTCGTTTCGTTTACTCGCGGTAAAAAAGCCAACCCATGAAACGATAAACCCCTGGACGATAAAAAAAACAACTCCCAGACATGACAGACAGAACTCAGCAGACAACGGCAATCATGGCGAAGTACGGCAAAGTACGGCAGGCGAAGCCGGTTCCCCCCGGCCGGCTACCGCTAATTTTACCCATGTGGGTGGTTAAGAGCCCCCTTACAGCCGCCCTACGTACCACCACATATGCACCCCCCTTCTATATGTATATGCATATACATACATGTACATACATATACATGCATATATATGTGTACATACATACACATACATACATTCCACATGTGCTGGAGATATATGCGCTTACAGATATACATTTTCATATCTACGGCACAGCGTAGGATTGGACGAAAAAGGGGAGAGGGAATTAATTGAATTGCCGTACGGAAGAGACGGAAAAGAGCTGGCTGTCCCTGAAGCGTGCTGCTCGCGGTGATGACGTGTGGACCGTACACAGGCAGTCAAAAACCAGGCGGGTGCTTTAGGAGCTGTAAAACAGCCTCTGACGCCGCAAGATCTCTTTGCGGCAAAATGGGCAGCGCTGCAGCCTCCGACTGCACCGCCGACACACATTCGCATGACCGCACGGCACCAGGGCCACCTGGATGGGTTTCTCCATGCAGATGCTGCAAGTGGCGCCGGCAAAGCCGTTGGCGCTGCTGCCGCCGCCACCGCCGCCGCCGCCGGAGGAGGACGCGATGGCGGCAGCGGCCGCGGCGGCCCCAGCGGCTTCCGCCTCCATCCCCGGCTGCGGGCCCCCCCCTGCCGCTCCCACGCTGGCGGTGGTTCCTGCGGCCCCTCCCCCCCCCTGAGTCCCCGATGTGTCCCCCCTCTCCTGGGCGGCTGTCTCAGAGCCGTAGTCGCTGCTCACAAGGTCCTGGTGGCAGTTTGCAACGGATGCACCGCCGGCCCCCGAGGGAACCGACGCAGCCGAGACGGCGGTTTCGGAGCCTGCGTCAAGGTAGGTGTGCGCCTGAGGGGGCTCCCTTGATAACAGGCCGGCTGCTCCTACTCCTCCCACTCCGTCGCCGCCGCCGCCCCCGCCGCCGCCGTCGTCGTCGTCGTCGTTGTCGTTGTTGTTGTCAATGTCCCCGGCGGCAGCTGCAACGGTGGTGGTGGCTACGGCAGTGGTGTCGTGGTGGGTGTCATGATGATGCTGTTGCCGCGGGTGCGGGTGGTGGTGGGTGTGGCGGGGCTGCTGGCCATGGTGGTAGTAGAAGTCGTCGTAGCCGGCGACGGCGCTGACCGGTCCGCCGGCGGCGGCGGCGGCGGCGGCGTCTTCCGGGGCTCCGACGGCGCTTGAGGACCGAGTTTGGGGACGACCCGCGGCACCTGTGACGGGATGTAGCACTGCCTGTAGCTGCTGCTGAAGTTGCAACCGCCGATCCAGATGCAGCCATTGCTCGTACGGATCTGCTGCTGTGCCGTACAGATGGTAGCACTGAGAGCCGGCTGCGACGGAGGCCGCACGTCCGCCATGCGCTCGCGATCCAGATCCATGCACTTCTGACGGCGGCTGTGACCATTCTTGAGAGGGATAGATGCCGTGGCCGCCGCCGCCGCCGCCGCCAGAGCCACACGCCTGGGAGTCTCCACCTTCCGCTGCTGTCGCCGCCGCCGCAATGCTGCCGTCGCCGCCGCCGTCGCTGCAGCCGGGCAGGCCCCCCGGATACGTCAGATGAAAGTCCATTAGCTGCGTGCGGGAGTGCACGCGGCTAACGCTGTCCGGCAGGGCGTCGTGGGGGTCCAACCTGCGGTTGCCATAATCGTCTGAAAACCCTAAAACCCCAACTATATAAGTATGTATTTATGTATGTATGTGTGTGTTTGTGTGCTGTCTGTCTACCTGTCTGTCAGACTGTGCGCATGCAAGCATGCAAAAGGAGAAGAAATGAATGCCACATTTTGCTACACATATAAATATACATGATAAACATGTAAGACAGGCGAGCACAGAGCAGAGATTTCCCCCCCCCTCCCCTTCCCCCTCCCCCCCCCCCTCCTACCCTAGCGGCGCGCAGGCACTGCTGCCTCCATCCATCGACCACGCCTGCTGTAACTCAGAGCCGTCGTAACCCGCCGGGGGCTCTCGTTCCGCAGTCAGTTGCTCGTCCAACCACCCCGTCTGAAGAGAAAAGGCATGGGACCGTGAATGCGACACGGACACCAACACACCCCCTTGTGACGGGGACGACGACGACAACGACGGCGCCGCGGCGGCGGCAGCGGTGGAAGCTGTTGCTGCGGGGGCGGCGGCGGCGGCGGCAGCGGCGCTGTCGCCGGCCGTGCCTTGTAGCTGCTGCGGCTGTCGTACCATTGGCAGGCTTAGCAACAGCTGGTGGGGAGAAGGTAGGAACTGCGCTAAGGTGGGTTGCTTAGGTAGCGTCTGAGTTGGTGTGTGTGTATGATGGTGTGTATGCGTGTGCACGGAGGTGCCGGGCAAGGACCCCCATGCGGTCACATCCAAGCCAATCGGTACGGGCACCGCCGCCGCCGCCGCTGCCACCGCCGCCGCCAGGGTGAGACTGCCGCTGGCCGAGCGGCCAAGTCCGGATCCACAGCACACCAGGTCGCTGCCGCCGCCACTGCCGCTGCCGCCGCCGCCACTGCCGTACACGTGACTGCCGGCTTGACGTTGCCCTGCTGCCGCCGCTGCCACAGCGTCTGAAGGTTGGTTTTGCGGCGACGGCGCCGCGGGCGGCGGAAGCGCCAGCTCGAATCTCCCTGCCGCTGTCACCACTTCCGCCGCTGGTGTACGGCCATCCAAAGCAGCGGCGGCGGCGGCAGCCCGGCAATATTCTGTGTGCTGGCGTTGCGGTCCGCCACGTTGGACTCGACAGATGTTTACGTTGTCCCCGGGGTCGCCGACGAGAAGCGCCTCCTGCTCGGCTGCGACCGAAAGGAAAACCAAAAAACAACAAAAAACAAAAACAAAACAACAAAACCGGTTCGGTGTACGACGCAGGTCCCTTAAACCCCAACGCGCGAGCAGTGTACGGCATGTGTAGGTCACGAAGGGGTTGTCCTCGTGCTCGTCCCAGCTCGCACCCAGCTCAACCTTCAACTTCAATGGCTTTTTAGTCGTACCAAGTCAACCACAGAAGCATATGCCGTACCAAGTCATGTGTGACCTTCCTGTCCAGGGAAGGCCGTCTGGGATTCGTTCATTTTTAGGACAAATCAAAATTTGAGCTTTTCGCCGAAGGAGGCGACATCTTCCATTAATGGACCTTGTGTTATTGTTTTTCAACACTCCGCCATCAACATCGCCGATCTCTACCACACGAGTGCACCTGTCCGAATGATCAAAGAATGCCCGCGCCAGGATTTCATCCGTACCCTCTGGCTGCCCAGAAATCGGCTCGGGATTACGAGCCGGCGCCGCCACCGCCGCTACTGCTGCAGGTACTACTACTGCCGTTGTTGTTGTCGTCGTCGTCCCGGGTCCTGCTACTGCTACTGCGGTTGCCGCTGCCGTAGATTGCCGCGGCGGCAGCAGCGTCATGACGTCATCCATTTGAAAGATGATCGCCTCCGACGTTGAGAATGACGACATCACCGGCGACATGGCCGCCAGGCCGCCACCGCCGCCGCCGCCGCCGCCCTCCTGCGCTGGTACCAGGACGTCCGGGCGCTGATGACCCACGGATGGCCGACTACTGCCGCTACGACGCCGACTATGATTGCTGCGGTCCTGCTGCTGCTGCTGTTGGTATTGATGTAATGACGTGTACGAGTGTACGGACTGAGTGCCGTACAGACCGCCTCCCGCAGCCCTGGCGCAGCTGTCATCCTCGCCAAATCCCGTCAGATCCTGTTCGTCCGTGTCGTGGCTTCCCGCGCTGCCTTCGTCGCCAAATGCCGCAAGTAGGAGAGGTCGCGCTTGGGTGTTGGCGGCCGAGCGGCCGGCGCCGCCGGCACCTGAGGAGGGAACAACGAACAACGGAAAGAAAAATATATTTTAATATCGTTTACGTGATCACTCACTAACTCACCGAAGTTTCTGTTGATGAAAAGACGTTGCCACGAGAGTCGTTGTTGCCGCGAGCCGCGAGAGGAGTCAACTTCACCACCAGACACAACGTAGGCGGAGGTCGCCCGCCTAACAACACAACAACAACAACAACACGCGTCCGCAGCCAAAAGATCCAACTTGCCCAGGAACGGGAAGCAGATACATCGGGCCTAATCAGGATTCGTTTTTCGACGCCGAGACGCAAAAAGAGGCAAAAGTCAAGGGACCACATGCCGCATACGTCATCAACAGCCTTCGTCCAAGAGGAGACTGACGTTAGCTCAAAACCAGTATATGCACGACACACAAACACAAACACACACACCGCAGCACCGCACCTTGTTGCCTCAGGCCGCCGCCGCCGCCGCCGCCGCCGCCGCCGCCAGCACCTGTTCCGCCGCCGCTGCCGCCAACACCGCCATGCATTCCCCGAATTGTCTGGAACGTGAACCTCATAGCGATGGATGAAAAACTGATGAACACAACGGACCCGGCAACAATGAGCACCGAGCCCCACCACGGCATCGAACTGCCGCCATCATCGCCATCCACACGCTGGGAGCAGTCCGCGCCTCTGAAGCCCTCGAAACAGTCACAGGCGCCCAGCGTGCAGATGCCGTTGTTGGAGCAGTAGTCCAGGTCGGCGCAGTTGGCGTGGTCCGGCATCTTGCCACCCAGACAGACCCCGCAGCACTCCAGGGGGGCTACTGGGATGTACTCCCCACCGGCAGTTACCCTGTTACGGTTGTAATCAACGGTTATAGTTGACAGTTAATTGACAGTTGAGTTACTTATTGCTCTTTTTTGGTTCCCTTTGGGGATGCTGACTTCCCCGAAAAGGAAGTCATCCCCTAAAGGGGAACTAAACGGGGGTAACGGTTGCAGTTGAGCACCCGGCGTTCTTGACATGTCTTGCCGTATCCTCTTGTATTAAAAAAACCACCTCAGTTCCATTCCATTCAGCTCAGGGGGCTCAGTGTTAGCGCCCTGGGCCCCGTTGCCTGTTGCCTTATTGTATCATTTAGTAGTTCATGAAGAGGCACATACCCATACCACCCCATATTCCACCTGGCTTTCCTACTCTGACAACTTATTTCTTCATTACTTCCTTTCCTCCTCCTTTTTTTAAATATTCTAAAATTAGGACCGGCGCGCCCCACATGAGCCCCTGCCCTTGCAATCGTTGTCGGATGCGCACATCTTCCCAACCGCACTTTATTACTTTGGACTACAACTACTTACTTTGGCTTCGGTAAAAGGTTTGCTGCATACTGTAACTTCCTTCTTCAACCTGTATATATGTATGTATGTACCCTCGCGGCTAGCAGTTCATTTAAACACACACACCCTTACAGACCCTTATACGTCCTTACACACGCACACATACACACGCACCTCCACTGCGAAAATCCCCAGAGCAGCCGGTCCGTGTCGGAGCCCCCACAGTCCTTGGTGGCGCTTGATGAGCAGTCACAGCGCTTGAGCGACCAAAACTGGTCGAAGGGGAACAACCGGAAAGCATTAGCATTAGCAGCAGTAAGCAGTAGTCGTAGCAGCATTAGCACCAGTATTAGCCATGGTGCCTCACCAGGTTGCAGTGAAAAAGATCATTGCATGCATTGAAAGGCCGGATCTCCCTTTTCCTCCACTTTTTTAGGTAGTTATCTTTTGTACTTCCAGCCTTGCCTCCTTAGGAAAATGAGTTTCGGTTGCCCCTGAACAAGCCAACCTCTCTACACACGTGAATCAAAAACCTATGATAGGGTACCGGTGTATGAATTCTTGAGAAATTCATGCGATGCAATCGCAGCAGTAGCAGTAGGTAAAGTAGGAAAGAGAGTAGAGTAGAGAGAAAATGGATCCGCCTAGAAGGCTGGCGCCGGGGGGGTAGGGAGGGGAGCTAGCACCTACCTCGCCGGATGACAGCAGTACGGCAGGTGTACAGCACTCCACCTGGCCCACGGGGTAGTACTCGTCGTACATTGAGGACCTGGCGCGTTCCGCCTGAGAGAAACCTGTACAGGCGTGGGCGCCAGCGTACGACGGCGTGTACATGTCAGTGGGGTGCTGTGTCGATGCGAGAGCCAGGTGGGGAGGTGTATGCTGTAGCTGGGGGAAACCACGGGGCACATACACACACATACACACGCGCGCGGGGCACACAACGAAATAATGAACCAGACCGTCGTGCACAAGACAGCAAGTCGTCAGGTGGTACAAGAAGACCCAGCCAACGTCGAAGTCGGGGAACACGGGAGGTGGGAAATGGAGGTGGAGGTGGACAGAGAGGGAAACGGCGTTGTTATCGGGATTGTACTGCCACTACCACCGCCAGCACCACTACCACCATCACCATGACCATGACCATCACCACCACCACTATCACCGCCGCCGCCGCCAATGGAGGTGCCAAGATTTTCCTCCACTCGCTCGCCAGCACGGCCGTGCGCCTTTCGTGCTATGCCGGGCGACTGACGTGACGGGGGCTGCGTGTCGTGTCTCTTCTCTGTGTCATAGTGCCGTTGTGTCTCTCTGTGTGTGTGTATGCGTGTGCGCGTGTGTGTTTCCAGCAATGATCTAGGGGAGGTACTGGCGAAGGCGGCACACAACCATGAGTAGCTTTAGCGTACGTGTGTGTGTATGTGTATGCATGTTCGCGTAAGCGGGAGACAGAGAAAGGCGAAGCCGAGGAGGGTCTCGTTCTTTTGGCTACGGTTCTAAGTTATCGGCACTGCAACCGACGCTGCTACCGCCGCTGCGACAAGAATCTCTGCTGCAGTGGAGGTCTCCTTCCCCCCCCTTGGGCCGACCGCCATGAGAGCCGCCTGCGGGTGCTGGGGGCGGCCCGGGGTGCGAGGTGCTGGGGCGGGGGGAAGGGGAGAAAGGGGATCCTACCTGTGACGAAGCTGCTGCCCGCCAACTCGCAAGTCAGCGCACGAAACTGCTTGCCCGTAGAGGGATGACAGCCCATGGCGACCACTGCCACGGGTCGGGCAGTGCCATTGCCAACGCGAGCCGGCCGCGGAAGCTCTCCGGGCAGGCAAGGCCGGCAGCAAATGGCACGACTAAGAGGGACGAGACCGTCCCTGCCCATCCATGCGCCTTGGTACTCGAAATTCGATATGAACCATCCATCTCTCTCGCAGCCAAGTCCATGGGGGACGCCAGCAGCCGGCTCGCATTCGCAAAGTTCCACGCGATAATCTAGGGTTAAGAAATGATGGCACGTTCAGAAACTAGTACGGATGATGTTTTGTGCTTGACTGCAAGTAAACAAGGCTTACGTATCCCCAGCTGGCGCCAAACAGGGGTTCTTACGTGCCGATGCATGACCATGACGAAACTACAACGACATAGCTTTCCATGGCCAGATACAGACACATCACTTACCCTGCCCCGTCGACTTCTCCAGGGCATCGGCTCGACCGCTAGAAAAGCTATGCAATCCTCGCAAGGCAAAGACAGGTTGAGCCGCTATTGCTACGCAGCAAAAGGTAAGAAACCATGGAAACAGATTTCCTTGGTCGCTGGTCTTTTTCGTCCCGGGCGCCAGCCGGCCGGGCTCGCCCATCGTTTCCTAATATCTAAATCCCTATGTTTCGAGCATTATTCCACGGACTACTTTGCAGAAAATTACATTAGAAAACTCAAATCATCATGTGATTTGCCATATGGTTTAAGCAAACCACCACATGAACAATAAAGTGAAATACTTGCCGTACGCGCTGGTGTACCCTGCTCCTGAAAAGCTTAAGCAACCAGCTTTTGTCATTGTAGATATAGTGCATACATAATTCAGTTCAACGGCTAGGATTGGGACCTACTCCTGCAAGGATTGAGATGTCTGAGTGGGTGCTGTGTCTGACACCCGCATTACACAGGTGCGGATGCATTTGCGTTCCAATGGAAACAGTACACAGGCCCGTAACATCTCCGATTAGTCTTAACGTTCGGCTTTATGGAGTGTCCCTTGGCACCTCAAAGTGTCCAGCATAAAGGCTCACCATATTGGAACTTGCCTTCTTATTCGGAATGAAGTACATTAATTGTTACTATGTGGACCGCCTGCTGTCCACCGAACGCATCGCACCACCTGCGCGCGGAGCTCAGCAGCTGTAATCAAGCCCACACAATCAAGGAGGTAGTCCTTCCCGCTTTGCCCCGTGGTTGTAACCATCGATTGTCCTACGCTATGAAGAATTGAGCAGTCAAACTTCCGAATCGTCAGCCGATACGTGCCGCCTGATTTGTAGGTGACCCTATTAGACCGCCCCTCTCTCGCCCCAAAGGTACCATCGCAAACCGGTGGTTCCATGACGAAATTTAGTCACTCCACCTTCTTTCGGTTACATACTTAGGGAAGAATATGCAACGAGATATATTCGATAGACCCGCACGAAACCCAGGTCGGAGTAGGGCCTCAGGTGCCGCCATACAAGGCATCCCGTCTGACGCTTTGGATTTCGTACACACGCTCGTCCCTGCTCATCTTTCACCTGAGGAGCGCCCATTCTCGTTTCGTGGAAGGAAAGACCAACACAGTTTGCCTTGAAGGCATTGTAACGTTAGTTTCCTAAACATTTAAAGTCACAACATGCGTACTTATAAAACCTAACCCAGAGGTTTTTTGCCTCCTCTTTCATGCCCCCTCCCCCTCATACATACATACATACATACATACATACATACATACATACATAACATGCATATGTCGCTCTAACCCGGGGGCTTTCTGTTCTCCTGCTACTGCTCCTGCAAGTACCCAACCCGAGCAACACCCACCCATCTGGCAATGAGCGGCGGGGGAATGTTGTAGCATGTCGCACGATTGAGCAACTGAATGCACGTGCTGTACGACATTCGGAATCCGAAAAGCCGCAGACGTCGCGCAATCCGTTCTCTCCAAATATTATGCTTGCGTACGGCAACGCTCTCTCTCTCTCTCTCTCTCTCTCTCTCTCTCTCTCTCTCTCTCTCTCTCTCGAGTCACGCAAGTTCTGCGGTGTCCCCAACCAAACATGCTCATCGACGTCCTGAACGAACAACCCTCCCCACACACCCCACCCCACCCACGCTCTTTTGCTTGCTTGCGCACGCGTCTCCGCTCCTGCATGATGCAGCAGCAGCAGCAGCAGCAGTAGCTATACCCATACCCCTAGCCATAGCTGTAGGACCGGCACAGTGACATCATCTTGGAAAGACATGTGTGGTGGTTTGGTTTGGTTTGCTGTGTTGTGTTGTTTTCAGGGAAGCCGCTTCGGCAGCTTCATGAGCCATAAAAACAGGGGACAGGTGGGACAGCAAACATCAACAAAATCGACTCACTGCGCTCCTCAGGCCCCAGCCAGACTTTAGCGACAACAAGAAGTGGCAGCGGTGAGGGGGCGGGTATCCTAATATGATCTCTACGCGCAAACTCCTCCCCTCTGTCTCTCCCTCTCTCGACTGCCCGCTTCTCGGCTGTCCCTACCTCCCCTAGCTCCCATCGTTGCGTTTGTGTCTGTCGGTATTAGTCAATGTCAAGGCGTTGGCCATCATCACACCCACAGTTGTGTGCGGTAGTCACAGTCACAGTGTCCTGTAATTGTTGAGATGAAACGAGGGTACGTGGTAGGGTCATCAATGGTCCCCCTCGTCCGTCATCTCGAACCTCATCACACTCCACCCGCTCCCTCTTACCGACCCACCAGCCCCACCCCACCCCACCCCACCACACCACACAGGACGCACCCACCCGGTCACACCCCCGTCGCATAGATTCCTTTTTATCTCCTCCTTCCTTCCTTCTTGGTCCTTCTTTGTATATTTTCACATCTCCGTCTTCCTTTAGCTGGCCTTCTCCCCAATCCCCTCCCCCGTCCTAAACCCCAAACTGCCCTAGAGGTCCTCCAAAGTCTCAAGGTGTCATCAAGGAGGTGCTCTGGCAGTAGCAGCGCCAGCTGCAACCGAAAGAGGCTGCAGCCGCGGCCGCAGATCCCGCCAACTTCGCGGCGACGGCGCTCCGGAACCGGTCCCTTGTTCCGACGCATTGTAGCCCGACACATGTACGACACAAACCCCGGAACGCCGCGCTGCGCCACCGTCGTCGCCGTTGTCATCCTTGTCGTCGTCCAGGGAAAGGCCGGCGTGGGTCAGGAAGCGCGACGCGGCCAGCCTGTGCCGGGGTTTAAGGGTGTGGGGAGGGAAAGAGTACGACAGCAGCGGCGGTGGCGGCAACGGTGGCGAATCAGAAAGGTGGCCGCGTCGTCACAAATCCTACAAAACCGTTGTCCCTGTCCTAACCAATTAACCCAACCAATTAACGTTAACTGTCCCAGGAGTCTCCCAATAGCTGTTCCTCCTTTCCCGGGGTAGTCACATGCAACACCTCGCATGCCGTCGTGACAACGCCGAAAGAACACCCCCCGCACAACGACTGACGTGCCTGTATGCCTGGTATATATGTATGTATCCCTGGTATAAATGTATATATGTATGTATGTATGTATATATGTATGTATGTGCCCTGTGTTGTCGCTCAAGCTGCCGGCCATCAGACCGCCTCAAGCGTATGGGGTCCCACCCCCACCCTCACCCTCACCCGCTCCCACCCACCAGCTACACGCAAGCAGCAGATCATCACGCGGTTCAGCCTCCGAGCCCGCCAGTCCATAGTCCAGCTCGACCCGCCATGTCTGACCGCATAGCTCAACCCACAACTCCTCACTCGCCGTACGTACGGCATCAGGTGAGGCAGCAGCGTCCTGTGAACGTTTCAGACATTAATCAAACATAAAACGTACGTGCGTACTTGTTTTTTTTGTGTGTTTACCAATAGAAAGGACAGACATACATCTAAACGGGCATGGCCCGAAGTTCTCCCCCCACACACACTACACACCGGATTAAAAAGAGAAGGAAGAGGGGACGTGTGGTGTATGTGTGTATGAGGAGGTTCCACACAACTTTACCCGCCTGCATGGGTTGGGGCCCCCCTTCCTACGGCAGAGTCTACGACTCGTACAACTGTTTGCATTTCACCTTACGCATGCGAACGCATCCATCATGCTACCACCACCTATATTAAACGCACCAGATCCAGTAGTAATTCATAATTACGCAAATGCATCAACGCTTCACGTTAGCAGTACACATTGTACATCGGTACATATTATTCGTACCTACGGAACTACTTAAAATACTTTCCTACCTGATTGCGCATCACTCTAATCACGCGCCGTACGGTTACAATACTGAAAGGGATACGAATATATGAACTGTAATAATATACACATCCGAATGCCGTACCTCCAGCACGTCTAGGGAAGTCCGGGTGCGGACTTTCTTAAAAAAGGGCGCCCCATCTTGACCGAGACGCCGCCATAAGGCCTCTGCGTCGGCCAGGAGCTGGTTGAGGAGGGCCGGGGGGGAGGTTGGTCACCCCGTGGGAGGGTCACCAGCTAACCACCGCAAACAAAAACACCACCAACAAACAAAGTGTGTATCTCACTCAGAGTGTCGGCTCACCGAGCGGCAAACAGCGAGGGCCCGAGGGAGGTCGTGTTTTAGGCTGTCCGCATAAGAAGAAGCTAGAAGAAAAGCTGCTATAAAGCTATCTGCGTACTTAAACGCCATGATGGTGGGTGCAAACCAAGAACACTAATGACAAGAGAAAGAGATGAGTGGGAGGAGCTCCTCGCAGCTACCCCACCCCGGAGGAGTCACCCACCGCCAGATCTCGCATGGATCCGCAGTGGTAGCCTCTAGCCCACTGCCACCCACCCAGCCACAGCCCTTCTCCCCGCCACCTCCCCCCGCCACACACACACACACACCTTAACGGAGGAGAAGCCACACGCAAACTTGCCGCCCGACGAGGCCAACAGCTCTCCCAGCGTCCTGTCGCCTGCTGGGCCCCAACACGGCTCCCCACGGCCGGCGATAACTGCTGCTGCTGCTGCCGCCGGTGGCTCCTGTGCTACTGCTGCTGCTGCTACCAAGTACAGCCGCTTGGAAACCACCACTTCCGTGATGGCATCGAACTCCTCTTCGTCCTCCCTGCGGCGCGCGTTCATCATTGGGGGAGTGATAATGATGGCGAATGGTGGATGGCGAATGGTGGGTGGCAGGGAGTAATAGCAGCTGATGACAGGCGGTGGGAGAGGGGTGTGGTGGTGACGTCGTCACTGGTGACGTTCTTTGAGAGAGCTCGGCACTTCCTTTTATCATATTTGTTCCCACCAGCTCCAGGCTATGTTTGATTAAAACACCTTGGGATGCGAGGATAGGCGGCATGGCTCGACGGGGAGGGCGCTAGCCAGCGGGAAGCGTAGCGGGGCACGAACAAGGGAAAATTGGAGCGCATGAGTGATCGAGTGGCCCACGTGTTGAAGAAGCACGTGGCCTGCCAGCTCTTGGCAACTTTTACAGCTCCGAGCACAAGTAACGCTGCCTTTGCGCATAGGCCCTACTGGCTGATGGTACGATGCTGATGTGGTCCGGTTGACGGTTAGGGATAGCATCATAAACGTGAACGGCTGAGTTAATAAGAAGTGAGCATTTACAGTCCTACCCACCACCAATGCTCAGAAGTTCTTCGAAGCACGAGCTTTCGGGCCCCTTGGGAAAATGGCCGAGCTTTATAGCTTGGAACGCTTGAAGCTGCTGTCGGATACATTTTCATACTCTGAAAACATAGTGCCTTCGGGATTTTCCATGAATGCCGCATAGTGCTGGCTGCGATGCTGCAGCCATCGGACTGTCTGCGGTTGGTCGCCCTGCTTAGATCTATACAATTTCGCAGCATGATTGCGTGCATGAGCAAAATTACCTTTTGGCACGAAAGAAAATGCTGCGCGTGGTTCACATGTTTGTGCGATGGCTAAGTCGTACGGACATGCTTACGTGCTCTGCAAGCATGCTAAAGCTTGACCAGCACCATTTCCCAAGCCGCTCGGTTATAACCTACGTACCATAAAGTATGATGTGGCAGCTATCACGTACGGACTTTTATTCATACCGGTAGTATCGGTTCAGATGTCACGGAATGCGATGAGCGTGCTCAAATAGGGGGGTCCTTGTGAAGCAGCTGCCCGCGTTTTCAAAGCACGTATGGTGTTGGATTGTAAGGTGCCCAAGTACGTTTGCGAGGAAGAGAATGTGGCCAGGCTGGAGAGGAAAGTGCAGTGGCATATTGGAATGTGAGATTAGCGTAAGCGAGTTACAGGGCGTTTTATTGCACGGGCGAATTTACGTGCAAATCTTTCACCGTAGCATCAGTCCTCAGTTCACTTATTGGAACGAACATCAGCATAGGTGCAAGCCCTCTCGCTTGGGGGGATATGCAAACAAACATCCTGATAGGGGTAAACTCGCACGCTACCGAGCATTCAACCGAGCACATGCATGCTTAGTTGAATGGTGAGATGCGAACCTCCCTTCATTTCGTGCTCGGCAAGCCTGCCACCGCGTACCGGATATGTTGGCGATGTTACAGAACTCTGCACCTTGGTTTCTGTGCGCATTGCGTACGTTGCTCGACCCCGCCGACCAAAACTACACGTGCCCAACTGAAGACATTCCCGGTGGTTGTGCAGCAGCTCTTGAGGCTGTTGCTGGCTGAAATCCATCCTGAGCTGTTGCAACACGGCTAACGCGGGCACGTCCCTATGCACAGCAAATAGCTGTTCCAAGCCAACAGCGGCGTCCATGTCACCGACAAGGCTCTAAACGTCTTATCTGTTCTTATGTTTAATCAAGTTTATGTATGTTATACTTTGCGCAACTTTGTAATTTGACTTTACTCTGAACAAGGTGCTGCATACAACTGCCTCTTCGCCAGCGCTTCATCTTCCGCGGCAGTTTCACGAGCCCAGAGTTGCAAGCTACGACGTTGGCTTTCGGTGCTTTTATTTACTGCAAAGCATCCACGCAATAGTCCAGCGTGCGGCTATGGCCAACATGCTCACCTGCGCAACGCGCTGGCGCACCTGGTCCTCATCCGCCAAGAAAATTTATATACATTTGTACAGGCGCATTTTGCGAATCGCACGCGCGCATCTGCGCGGCAAAATTCGCTCCTGACTTTTGGGACGAGATGTACGGATTCTCTATTCGCGAAGTACGACCGGACACATTTGTGCGAGAGGCAGTGTACGGGCCGAAACCTTACTGCCAATGCCGAAATAGTTTCCGTTTTTTGGACCCTTCTGCGAAACCTGCCGGAACCTGCCGGAACCTGCCGAAACCCTGAAAATGCTGTATTTTATGACGTCCTGGTATGCAAACGTTGTTCGTGGGCCCTATGTGCCTTTGCGCCTCATGGGACCTGCTCATGTGTGTCCGAAGGCACTCCGGGGGCACTTTTGCGCGATATGGACGCGCATCTCCTGAAGGCGCCCTTGCTTGGACTCGGTCCGGCAGTACTTGCAGATGATAGTCCAGTTCTTACATTTTGCATTATATTTTTTCTTCTCAAAATGAGCCCAAACGGTCTGATCAGCTGTCCTTCCGCCCTTGTTTTTGACCGAATCTGTGTCTGCACTGACAACGGAAGTTGTCTGAGACATTGATAAGATAAACTCAACATTCGCAGAGTTTCGCAGCCTTGCACAACGCGCCTACACTTTGAAACTATTCAAAGTAGGTTCCGCCGTACGGCGCTAGCCGAAAGGGGCCGAAACTAGTTTCGGCATTTCCGCAGAACCAGGACCTCTTCGCCGGAATCACCGAAACTAGTTTCGGCAGGTTTCCGTTTCGGCAGGTTTCCGTTTCGGCCCGAACACTGGCGAGAGGCTGCTTAAAGACTGGAACTCTCCCTTGGAAATAGTGGAAATCTGTTAATGATCGGATACCTTTTTATGAGTACCTGGAACAACAACGCTAGGGCGTGAGTTTGACAGTGGAAGACGAGATCAAATTTTTTCGAACTATTTCCCTATCGCGGAAGATAGCTACGCACGCTGCCTAAAGCCCGGGGAGGTCCAATTATAGTTGTCTCAAAAACGTTCTCCATTTCAAGGATTGTAGGCCTCGTTAGCAAAGGCTAAAGTAAATAACAAGGTAAAATGAATAGGAAATGCAACAAAGCCATTCCCACCTCCTGGCCAGGCCTAAAAAGGGAAAAAAAGGAAGCTTCCCTGTGGCCGCCAGCAGGTTGGCCTGTGACCCTGTCCACCAGGCCAGCCGTAACAGGTCAGCTGACTTTATTTACATACATACATACACACACAGCCATGAACGTATTGCAGACATACACATCCAGCCCTAAGTCCAGGGGCAGCCTCCTGATCGCACATATATACGTTGTCGAGGCTACATTTATATGGTTGACAGCATGAGGCAGCCACGCCAGACAGGAAGTGTAGCACCGGCGGCAACCACGCCCCATCGTGCCTCATTGCCCTCTCGCGTTCAGTGGAAGTTGTAGTGCTTGTTGATGGGGGCTTTGACGTCCCAAATGCACGACATCCCAGCCGGGAAGGTCGCCATATCACCTGCATTAATCTCCACAGCCTCCCCACCTGCCGCAAGCCCATAACAACCCAGGACAAACAGCGGTCTGTAGATAAAAAAAGTAGCTCAAAAATCACCAATTTGCTTTTGCACAAATCAACATAATAACAATACCGATCATTTGGTTTGGGGGTTGCACACATACATGCACAGTGTAATATATGTATATGTACACATGTGTAGTGTATATCTGTAGTGGATATGGATATAGCAAAGGAACATATGCATGCCATACACACACACACACAGCTCGAGAAGCACCCTACCGTTTGGTGTGACGACCACCTTGCCTTCCAGGATGTAGCATGTCTCACTCTCCTGCGGCCGCCAGGCAAATCCAGGCCCAGACAGCAGGAACAGCAGGAACAGCGCACGCAGAGTACCGGCATTTAAAAAAATTATGAATTGAACCGACACCGGGCGACACATGCATATACAGGGGGCAAGGATGCCACCTACATCAGCAGCAGCAGCCGCAGCCGCTATGCAGCACTAATTAGGCATGGACCCTCAAAAGGGCATGACATGGGCAGGACATACACGGAATGGCCTGCTGGTCGCCCCAGGGGCCGCCTCATCCACATGCAAGAATGCCCACTACCTACACAGCCAACTGCAGCTGCTGGACACCATGCACATGCATGCAAGGCACGCCCAGACATGCAGCGATGTGGTTCATAGCTATATAGCCAATTACACAACAGTCCTGGTAGCCCGCGCCCGGATTCTTCCCCCCCTCTGCCCCATCGAGGTCTCAGATGTGGTCGGTCACCGGTCGCGGGTATAAGTGGCCGTGTTGCAGTATTGGGCGGGACCGCCCGGTGGCGGTAGAAGCAGGTGGAAACGTGAGCATACTACTTCACCAAATAATACACCATCATCATGATATGCTACATAACGGCTACTTCTGTGCGCGGCACCAGGCTAGGCACCACGCAGGGAGCAGCAGCCACCTCCCCTACCCCGTGTGTACCTGATAAGTCCTGCAGGGCAGTGCAGTGCAGTGCAGGGAGGGGGATAGAGGGCCGGCGGCGGCGGCGGCGGCGGGGTCACATGCACGGGGATGCAAGATGCGGGCAGAGCGGCCAGTGGTGATGCGCATTCACGTGGCGCGCAATATTATTTCCTTTGATGCTATTTCACCACGGAGGCTGGAGGCTGGGACTTCACCACTTGCATGTAACATAGCACTGATTTGCGACTTATGCATCTGTGTGGATACGTGCGACAGTATCACCAAGGCAGACGGCGAATAAGAACACAGCCAAGAACAGAGTAGTCGCACATGCAGCATGCTGCGACTACTATCTAGACAGCTCAAAGTACATATGAGCAGATAGGCCGTTAGCGCAGTTTGACCTCATGGGCAGTGATGAGGCGCAATGCTGAAGTGAAGCTTTGTGACGACGAGTTGATGTATGTGCCCCTCTAAACAAGCATGGCAGAGGCCCGGTTGGCCCGGTGAGCCAAGGGCGGCCTTAGCGGCGTTACAGGCTGCATTTGCGTTAGGAGCAGCAGCAACAGCAACAGCAACCGCGGCGGGAGGCGATGACTGAAACGAAGTGCATCCCTTGATTTCGCAAAAGCGCTTGATAAGGTACTAGTACTAGTACTAGTACTAGTACAGCTGCTGCTGCTGCAACTTTTGATATCATGACACGTGCTTCTGCAAATAGACCGATTTCCTGGAACCATATATATTTGCCATGGTACCTTTTGCAAAACGTGTTTCCTCCTATGATACGCTTCATGTAGTGGTGGTGCTCCGCTGGAGAGGGGCGGTCGGTTGCCATGCGGCGGCAAACATGTATCTTGTGCGGCAGGCGATAAGGCAACGGAATGCAACGGCATCGACCTACAGCACCCGCCCGCCCTGGGATTGCCTCACTCCAGGTCTACCTACCAAGGGAACTTGCTCACGCCGCATCCCCAGGTGGGCCAGCGACGCACACCTTTGGCCTGCGGGGGGTCGCGATACATCACCGGACGCACGGATGCAAGTATAAAACGTAGCAAGGCATTCCTCAGCAACGACCGTACATGCGGCACATACATATGCATGCGCGCATATGCGCGATGGTAGCCCTGCCCTGCAATACCGGGAAAACTGGTAGGTTCCTAGCGGAGCGTTTAAAAACTAAGGTTTTCTGAAAGTTCGGAATGGAATATGTACGGCATGGTGGCGGGCCTGTTGTTGTGTCGCTGTGAGCGACGGTGCCGGTTAAATTGGGTTCTGCGTAGAGCTAAGTTAGGATACTGTCCTGAAGCGGTTGGCCTGTAGGCCTTGTTTACTCGCATGGGGGTAGTGTGCCCACACCCGGCCCTACTTCATGAAGCCTATGTTCATTGCTTGCAAGTTTATGCAGTTTGTAACGGAACCTCCTCATAAAAACCCACGCCTTTGCCTTAAAGAGCAAGCAGTTTGAAAGCTGGCGCAATGGTTGGCCTTCAATTAAGTCGCCTTGAATTGGCTATGATCTCACCTCAAGCACATTTTCGCTCGGTTGCCGCTGGACAACCACCTTCATGCCGGCCTGCGTGCTCGCGCACATTTGCAGACGTGGTTTGCGCGCACACGAGCTGCAAGTGGCGAAAGAAAGTCAGCAGAAGATCCTTGCCTGGCCGCGAGATAGGCTCAGCATGGGCACAGCATGAGGCTTTACCTGCGGACTACGACGGGTGATGCTGTCAGCATTTTGCCAGCGTTGCAAAGACGTTTGCAAGTCGTGCTACACGGTTGCAGTCCATACCTAGTTATGCATGTGCGACGTGCTCGGCCAGCGGTTGTACGGTACTTTTGCCTTTTGTCTTGCTCTGCTCTCAAGTTATTCCTGCCTGCGATGTTGCCGTTAGAATCGAATCACTTTTGTGTCTCATGGACAATTCTGAGGCTAACTAGTTTCGCAAGTGCCGTAAATCTCTTTGGCGCCTTCCAGAAGGAGTGAACCACAGTGCTGACAACAGTTCAGTGGACATGAGCAGTGTTCACCATGCAGCTCGGCTGGCTGGTGGCAGCCATGATATGCTGCAAGGCTGGGGAACACTTGTAATGGTACTTGTAGGCCTCCACTTCGCAGCGCTTCTTTTCTGGATCATCATGCTAATTTTCAGCCCGTCCTCGCCAAACAGCAAGACCGACGAGAAGCGCGATTAAGCCAGCGCATTTCTTCTCGCGCTTGAGTTCCAAGGACCAAACCTGTTGTGCGAAGGCTCCCCCTCAGCTAGCCCTTTTCCCGCCGCTGTCTCCATAAATCGTATTTGCGCCATTCGGTACGCTTGAAAAGGCTGTGCCGGCGGGACTGGCTCAGCAGCCCTGAGCCGGCCTTCGGGCAAGGGGGACAGCTGCGTGGACGGATCTACTTTCCCCAAACCGCCCCGCCATGCCGAAGCACGTTATCCTGGGCCGCGAGCATGAACACCACCATAAGGACGCTTGGCATCAGTTTGAAGGCCTGGTGGTTGTGCTGGTGGTCTGCCATGCGGTGGCGTTCCTCTTCTGGGCTTGGCTTCTCTACAAGACGCGGCGGGCAGGAAGCTTAGCCAACGGCGGAAGTAGCAGTGGCAACCGCGTTGGTGGCAAGGGGACGGTCAAGATCTCTCCGACGGGGCACCTGCGGAAAACCACACCGGCCTTTGAGTGGCGCACCCCCCGGGAGATCCTCCTGGCGCAGCAAAAGGCAAAGATGGGGAAGGTTTGACCAGCAGGCGTATCAGCCAGGGCCGTGCCTTGAAGCCGGGACGCCCCTTGTCGTCCTGCCGAACACCTTCCTTGCCTCTTTCATGATCCGTCACATCTTGGCATCTTCTGTTCCCAGCTGGCTGTACCGCTTGCTAGCGGGGGAATAGCTAGTAGGCACATAGTTGGCGTTGATTTTCAACGGTACAATAGAGGAGCAGAGGGACACATTTGGGGTTTCAGTCGCTTGGGTGGGGAAGATAGACAGCCGCCTGTTGCGCACGTAATCCAATGGCGGCGGCTGAGCAAGCCATGTGTGTGAAAAGACGGAGCCAGGGTGCGCGCCAGAATGGCGGGGGGCGCGGGCTCCTGTCGACGGGAGGAGCGGCCCCTTGTTCATGCGGCCCCTCTGAGTAGGGGTGACACAGCAACACGGGTGCTACCGTGTGTCGTGTGGTTGAGGTGGCTACCAACTGAACAACAACAATAACAACAACTGCACTGCGATTTTTTGCATCACGCCGTCTTCATGACAGGAGTGCAGTGCTGCCAAGGTTTTGTAGCGGTGTGCTTTGGAAAGGACCCCGTCGTTGAGTTTTAATAAACTGGTCGTATTCTACAAATGAGCGTATGTACCTGTTGCGGCACCATTGCAGTTTTAGTAGTTGCACAACTGTGTGCCGCACGCTGTGAAGCCCCGTCCTGGGTGCTCGGCGGAATGGGGATTTTGTTGTAGCAGCTGTCGGTCCGTCCATATGAATGTCGTGTTGTGTTTTTCGTCAGTTGAGTAGAGCTGAGGCCATTGAGAGGAACACAAGACGACGCTTGGCAACGAGTTTTGGTGGAGGGGTTGCCTTTTAGCACCACTGTTATATCACCATGATAGGTAAAGTAAAGGGTTATGCACGGAGGTTGTTGCACTAAGGACAGTTATGGTCCTAGGTGCAGCTTGGCAGCCTGACTCAAGTCTTGAGGTTATGTGAGGGCAAAAGCATATGATCCGTACCCATTCCGAATGAGGTACGTGTTCGCATGGGTGTTAAGTCAGTCACTGGCAAAATGAATCGATGCCATACAGCCTCCAGTGCAAGTACGAAGCGGACTGATTTTGTTCTGTTGCTTGCACCCTTGAAGGAGCTTTTCCCTCCCTCCGGACAAGCCTCTGCACCGTATGCTGGGTTGGTTGCATTGATGATACACTTGTGGTGATGATACACCTTTGTAACGATTAACTCACAGTGGCGCAAGAAGTGAAGAAGGTTTGCATGCCGGAGTTCTACTGCTGCTTGTGGGCGGGGAGGGTGTAGCTGGGCCCATGTGTGGCAGCTGGGACGGCTCCTGAGCTGCCGCTTTTCTGAGTGAGGAGAATAATCCGCTTAGTCTCATGCTGTCCGAGTCTGAGTGGAAGATAGTCCGCTTAGTCCGATGCTGCAACGCTGCATGCTATCCCTCAACACCGAGCAACACCTTTTGCACCCTAAGGATGAACATAAGATTGTGATGTGCATTCCTTCATGTCCTCCTCCTCAGGTTGAACACCTTGCAGGTTGTCTCCTGCGAGGGAGCACGGGGGCACCAGCTCATACCTCACCCCCCACCCTACGCGGGCACAGCCACAGCTACATGTTGTTGTACCAGGATGTCGCCACGGCTACCGCAATCACGTAGCTACATCATCTCCACACGGCTGGTGTGGCAAAACCCGCGTCCTTTTCCATGTTCCCCCCACACACGGCTGCAAAATCTTCAACCTGCAATCAGGTACCCTGCTCGGCTGAAGTAGTTGCCTTGACAGCACAAGGATAAATATACTCATGCAAACATATACATGCACGTGGCCTAATATCTAGGTCTCTGAGGACGCTCTGAAACACGTCATGCCAGTCTGCTGCAATACAATTTGTCCGGGGCCGATATCCACACAGTTCGTTCCGGTGGGTCGACAGGACTGGCAAGACGTGGGCTCCCCGGCTCCACAGCCATATGCGTTGGGTTAAGGAACCTACATCTCCCCACCTCTCACAGTCCCCAGGTGGCCACGTGTGAGAGCGTGCCGTGCCGTGCCCCCAGGTGCTGTGCCGTGGCTCTTTGTTCGTGACCCGTGAGGTGACTCCCTCATCACGACGTCACCCTCACCATGTAACACCAACGCCATCAACACCAGCCGCACAATCCGCTCAATCGGCACGCGCCCTCACACACGTATCCCACCGGCGGTTAACCACAACAGAATGTGCGCACCAACAATTACTACCCCCCGCGTGCGCTAGCGCTCCAAACGTGTCACGCCCCTCCTCCTCCTCCTCCTAACAAAGCGGAAGATTATCAGCTTCTAGTTAACACTCCCCACCCGGAGAGCAACCCCACTCGGCTCCTGGCTAGCTTGCCCCTTGCTCTGCTTGATCACGACGACCTTACCTTAGTACCGCCTCGTTGCGCCCCGCTCCTCTCCTGTCCCCCTGTCCTCTCCCCTCCTCGCACGTCGCTGCAACACTCAAGACCACAGCCCTTAGCCACATCTCATTTCCTGCTCCTTCCCCCGCTATCTCCGACTCACCTCACCGCATGCTGTGCCAGCGGAGGCTGCGCGTGTGGTGCATTGCCGCATCAACTGCCGCAGCCACATCATCTACCGCCACTCGGGCCGTGTCCACATCGCAGTTGGGACCTGGACCCTGAAACACGCCTGGGGTACGGACGGGAATGGGAATGGGCCGGGAGGTAGGAAACATCTTTGTTGCATGTTGCGAGTCAGAGCCCACACGGGGCGCAGTGCAGCGTGTTGCGCCGTTACAAGGCGGTCACACGCGCTTTTTCTTCTCTTCTGTACAGTGACGGGAAACAAAGTTGAACACAATTGCCCTCTGCTAAGGATCGAAACACGAGCTCTAGGATCCCCTCCACCATTACAGTGTTGGCTATACATGCCACAAGTCTCCCCGATGGAACTTAGAAAAAAGTCTACCGCCATCTCCATCGCATTTTTGGACAACAAACAGCCCTCAGCCGCTGCGAGCTACTGCGGGGTCCTTCCTGCCTTCCGCGCACCGGTGCGCACCAGCACGGACACCCAGGGGGCCCCCGCCTGGTTGGCTCCCCGCACATCCGCCGCCGGGTTGTCGCCCACCGCATAGATACCGCTGAACGGCAGCGCTCCGGGGGGCAACTCGGGCAGGGCCAAACCCTGACGCCGAGCCTGGGCTATCAGCAGCCGTTCAGCAAGCCTTGCAATGGGGGCCCAGGCGGTGGCGGTACAGGCCAGGTACACAGGCGGGTTCCGGAGTAGGTGGGTTGCGGAAGTTGAGGGGTAGGGGGGGATAGGGACAGCGGTCGTGGGCCCGTCCGGCCGGGCTCAGCTCGCTGGTGATGATGATGGTTGTGCTGGGGGGAAAAGGGGTTCTCCAAGGAGGGGTTCGCCGACATATACATGCATACATATACGGTTGTTGTGTATGGTACACAGCGTCACTCGTCACATAACACATATCGCTCCACTAGTCTCTCACGAGAGGCCTCTTCAGCGACCAGCTACTACAATTGGACATTTCGACATTTCGTCTTCAGTTCGACCCAGGCAAACCACAAAGGTAACTTCATACATACATACATACATACATAAATATACAAACAGCAGGTATGGCAACTTTGCTACGGTTTCCCGTACCCAAGCACACCAAGACACACACGGCACATGCAGGCCGTTATCACCTGTACGGCTGTGGGTTGGGTTTGCCGTAGAATGTGACATGGTGGTGACGTGTCCCTCCCGTCAGCCGGGCGAACAGGGATAGAACCATGTGGGCAAAGGCTCCTTGTCCGAAGCGGCTCTTGGGGAACTCATTGGCCCACAGCAGGTCTACGGGTGTGTGTATATATGTGTGTACGTGTATGTGTATGTATGTGTATGTGTACGTGTACGTGTATGTGTATGTACGTGTACGTGTACATGTATGTATGTGTATATGTATGTGTATATGTGTGTCTGTATGTGTGTCTGTATGTGTGTCTGTATGTGTGTCTGTATGTATGTATGTGTGTATGTATGTGTGTGTGTATGTATGTGTGAAGGTTACAAGTATCTAACCGGGCCTGACACTGGCTGGCCACAGGGGCTGCTGCCCATCCCCAACGGAAAGACCGCCTAAGCTCTCTCCCCCGGACGGGCGAGGGGCGCGAGGGGGCCCTCTGCCCCCCCTCCTAATCAGCCGAGAGCCGCAGGTCCGCTAGTTCCCGCTCTCCTCCCCCCCGGGGGGTGGGTGGTAGGCGTCGCATGCGCTAACGCTCTCAGAGTCAAGAGGCTCCGTCACGTGAGTTTGCGCACTGAGCCTGAAACACACAACAAGACAAGTGTATGTGTGTGCACGTATGTGTATGTGTCTGGGGGGAGAGAAGGGGGAGAGAAGGGAAAAGGCGCACGAAAAGGCGCACGAAGGGCAATCGCTCATCCTAGTGACGGACTTTCCAAGATACAACCACCGCGCCAGAGCAGTTGGCTGTCGTAGGGCGGGAATGAGACCCCGCGCACCGCACCACACCAGGGAGCGGTGTTGGGGACAAGGGGTAAGACGAGTTGGGGATTGCACATTGTTCCACACGGGTGATGTGTTTCACACGGGTGTGTCCCCCACGGGTGATCGTCCTCCCAGTTCCCCTCCCACCAGGATTTGAAAACACCAGCTTGACAGGCGGAGCTCCTGCACAAGGTGGGGGTTGGGGGGGACTGTGTGTCTGTACGTCTGTGTCTGTATGTCTGTACATGTGTCACCGCCAGGCTCAACACCCGGCGGGGTTAGTGGAAGAATTAGTTCTGCATTATGGCCAATGTGTCCACTACGAACGCTGAGTAAAAAGCGTGCGGCCGCTGGGAATATAGTGCTATGCATGTAATTTCTCCCCCCCTCAATCCCCATCTCCCAAGGCCGCCTCCGGAACTGCGTTGCTTTGTTCCTGAACCCCTCCAACTCCCGTTCACTATGGCTGGATCCCCTTCAGGCGGCTGGGAGCCCGGCTGAAACCAGCTGGCTCTGCTGGGTTACCCAACTCCTCCGGGTTGCGGGGGACTCCCCCCGGGTGCAAAATGTGCTGCTCCAAGTCCCTTTCCCCCCTCCCCATTAATGTGACCCGCTGTCCCTTCTGTCGCCGCTTCCGCAGCGCTTCCTTTCAATCACTCCCCCTCACTCGCTCACTCACCAACAGCCGCTGCCGCCGCTGCTGTGCGAGTGGCTACTCCCGCCCCTACGAGCACATCGCATATGAGCTGTGCGTCGCGATACCTGAGGGACCCGGGGGGGGGGGGTCGCGGGGGGAAGCAGGGACATGGGTTTGGAGAGATAGGCATGGGGCTAGGAATGCGGGATCGCGGGAAGGGGGGTAGTATAGTGTAGCGTAATGTATATATGCAACTCGATATATGAGCAGCTCAACCCCCCCTAGCAGCACATCCTCCTTTCCCCCCCCCCCACCCCAGCTTCCCACCAGTCGTCTGGATCCGTCATCACCAGCACCGTGTGGATGGGGTGCGCCTCCGTGCCCAAGCCACCACCCCGGACGGGGCACCTACGGCCCACTGATCCCCCCGGGGATGTGCGCAGTGGGGAGGTGGAGGTGGAGGTGGAGGTGGAGGTGAAGACAGGGCTGGAGAGAGAGACGGGGCTGCCGCGGGCGGATGCGGAGGCTCCGACCGCCGCCGCCGCCGCGCCGCCTGAGGACTCCGTCACCGCCGCTGATTCCGCCGTTGAGGGCGGGTCGATTGCCTCTTCATCTGTCCATCGGTGTCCGGGCGGATTTCCATGGGGGTGGGGGTGGGAGTGGGGAGGGCGTTGGGCCGTCCCCAATGGCAATGGGCAGTGGAGGGAAAAGCGTCAAAGCAGCAGATCAAGGAGACAAGCTGGAATACGGCTGGTGTAGTGCGCAGGAAGGTTCGTCGTGGCTCTCTACACATAGGCGCGTGTGTTGTGTGTTTTCTGGTTTAACTGGAGAAGGCGAAGGCCCCTTGTGGGGGGTGGGGGGGGGAGGAGGAGGAGTGAGCCCTTTTGCTCATTCGCCGGCCCTCTTGCCCTCACAGCCCGACCACTATACCTTAATACCCGACCCTCCCGCTCTGGACATGTAAAGTTTTGATTACCTGGATATTAACTCCACATCGCTCCATCCTCTAACTGCCCCCAGCCCCGTACATTATAAAAACACACGCACACAAAACCCCCGCCCTGGTTTCCCCCACCAGTATCCGTCTAGTATCATCTGGTATCTGCTTCACTTGTCCGTGGTTCGTCTTACCCCGGCCCCCCCCCCAACTTCGAGTGGACGATTACGTACTCGGCGGGTATGTACTGAAGGGGGTGGCTGCCGGCATGGCTCGACCGAGGTCCCGGGTGTGCAGCAGCCGCTGAAACCCATATGAGCGGGCCACCTCGAGCACGTCACCTCGCCCCGAAACCAGCACGGGCTGCTGGGCAAGCTCCGGAACCAGGTCGCGCATGGGCGTGTGGGACAGGATGACCTGTGAACCAGTAGAGAATACCCAGAACGGTACCCAGAACGGAAGCACGTACGTAGGGAAATAGCATGGTGGTGATGCAGTTAGGGGGCACTGAGTGTACGGACTGTGTTTTGGAGAGAAGCCCGGGGATTACCCCCCTCATGTGGCAACCTGCCAGATGAGCCCCTGTACGGCTGAGAGGGCTCCGCCAGTAAGGCGGTAGCCTTATGGCGGTGGCGGCGGCGGCGGCGGCAGCGACAGTGTTGCGGCACCAGCTGACGCTGATGACGAAGATGTAAAGACCAAAATATAAATGATGATAATGATGGTGGTGGTGGTGATGATGATGCGACGTAGATGAGACTCGCGCAATTGGTTGGCAAGCTCGCTGCAACTTCCCCCCCACACACCTTTGCAAGTGCCCTCCCCTCCCCTCCCCTCCCCCCGTCGTCTCACCCCGCTCCCACAGTCACCCTCCAGCAGTCCGGAGCCCGCCCCTCTGCAGTTCGTCTCTGCCGGGTTCCCTCGCGGGGTGTACACCCCCTGGGGTTCTTGAGCTCTCGCCTCTTCATACCGCGTCCCCATCCTGTCATCCTACAACTCACAACTCATCCATAACTCACGATACTTCGGTATAGCTGCCCCAATCACCTGCCCTCCTGTAACCCACCTGCCCTCCTCTGTCCGCAGCGTTCAACCGGGCCCCACCCCACCACGCCACATCGCATCACATCCCACCCTACCCTACCCTACCCCACCCTACCCCACCCCACCTGCTCCGGCCGGACATCCACACCCAGCCACCCAGATAGCTGTTGGGCCTTACGTGCTTCGCACACACCGCCTCCGTTGGTCATGAATACAACTGGGTGGCGCCACCGCCCGTCGGGGGTGGTCAGCTGGGGTGTAAGTGGAGGGGGAGGGGACGAGGGGAGGGGGGGGGAGAAGGGAGAGAGGACGAGTGGCACCAGCGGCGGCAGGGCAGCGAGCAACTGCCATCAAGGGGGAATGCGGACTGCGGCGGCCCCGACCACCGACGTGCCAATCTCCTCCCGGTCCGGGGGACCGCCTGGGCCCCGGGGCTGGGGTGGGGGTTGGGGGCAGCCAGCCACAACTCATGAAAAGCCGCCAGTGCCGCGGCGGTGTTTGACGTGGTGGTGTGGTGTGGTGGTGTGGTGGTGTGGTGTAACATGGGACGAAGGGACTCGGTTCCAGAGGCACTTTGGGATGCAAGGCGGCATGGGCCAGTGTACCGCTCTTTCACCTTTTTGGCCCGGTGGTGTTATACGTGGTGTGGTGTGGTGTTGTGAGGGTTCGCTGCTGGCTGCTCACCTTCTTAACCGCTTCGAGGGCCTCCGGCAGCACCTCCTTCCCGCGGATGAGGACCTGCACACCGCCGCACACCGATATGCAAACACGCTCTTTCAGACACCAGCTGTCGGCCACCATTCGGAGGTTGGTTCCATTCGGCCACCGCTATTCGACCAGGCTGTTCACCTCACCAATAAAGTGTGGAGGAAACGAGCATATGTGATTGCTTGGTTACATAGGTATTGGTTTCTACACGGGTTTGAGCCAGCAGGCATAATTTGCCCAACCGCCCGCTCAACCGCCTGCAGAAAACAAATGAAGCTGTCCGCCTGCCAGCTCGCTGCCTCGCCAGCGTCTTCTTCATACCCAGTAACGCCCCGCCCCGCCCCGCCCCGCCCTTTGTTCCCCTTACTTCGTAATGACATCGTGTTGCGATGGGGCGTCACATATACCTGAAGCCTTAGGGGCTGCAGATGCCAGACCGCCAAAACCTATCGGCATGCAGGGGCTTATGTGACTCATCTATGCCTGCAGCAGCATCAGAGGCTCACCCCGTCGATATCAAAAGAGAATGCGGGCGGCCCGCTGGGGCAAGGGCTGCTCCATGCAGGCGAGGAAGAGTAAGTTCGTGTTTGCCGCGGGAAGCATCCGCTTATGGCTCCAGCAGCAGCGTCTGTCTGAGAGAGCGGAGCCTGGAGCTGCTTAGCCAGGATTGCAACGGCCTGTTTGCAGCGGGTCCATGGGAAAGTACGTGAGGAAGCAAGTGTAAAGCTGTGTTCCAATTCGTCCTGAAGGCGGGGTTCTGCTGGGAAGGGGTATCCACGAAAGCTGTAAAGCTATCCTACCCGGCAAAGGAGTTGTTGGCCATGGTAGCGACTAGGGACCATGAAGACGGGTCAACTCGGTCCTAGGAAGGAAATCGCCTCTATGAATAGCGAGCTTGGGAGATTCGACACATACAAGCCCAAAATACAAGAAGGGCTTACATGAGCCGTTGCATCGGGTTCGTGCACACGAGCATCAGTCATACAGGAATCAATGTAAGTACGGTACTTTGATTCACGTTGCAGTTATGTGCGTTTCTAACGTCGTTAAGGTTCATTTGCCCGAATTTTGCTCGAGTACGTGTGATAGCATTGGCGCTGACAAGCTCACTTCACGAATTTTAGTTTGCTGGCGTCGGGGCGCCGGGCCCCGTCTGATGGCACGCGCTATTGCAAAAGGCCACTTGAGTGCCTTTTGTCGCAAAGCAATCGGGGCGTCCCACCAGCCAGCCTGCGCGGTCTTTTCCAATCCGCATTTGTCAGCCGCCAGTCTCGGCAGCATCACGCACGCGCAGCTCGTTGTGGTGCAGCGCAGACACCTTGGGGTCATGGCGCTGCATCGCCTGCTCGGACTCAGCCAGCCCTCAGCTCGCCTGATTCCGGAAGCCGCGCGTAATTCCCCGCAACGCGTTCATTTTCGCGCACGGCTCCGTGCAACCTGCAGCCCAAACCAGCCCAGCTCCTCATTCTGGCGCTCCTCCTCTGATGGCCTGGCTTGCCATGAGCAGCAGCAGCAGCAGCAACTACTCGCAACTCCTCGTGACGCCAGCTGGTTAGTCGCCAACCCCCTACGAACCGGCGCCCTCTCTCTTTCCAAGCCAACATCTCAAGGTGGACCGCAGCGCGCCTCCCCCTGTTTAGAGGCCCCCTCTGCGCCTTGCGAAAGCGCCAGTGCTGAGGGACGCATCATAACGGGGTCTCTGTGCCCCAGGGCGCCAGCGGCAGCAGCGCCGCAGCTGTCTACCAGCGCCGCTCCTGAATCCCCCACCTCCGCAGCCGGGCTCAACCCACCCACATCATCCGGGTCGGAGACGTGGCCCGGCTGTGACTCACCACTTGGCGCTTGCGAAACACGGCCGGCGTTTGGCTACGGGCCACCAACCGTTGCCACAAGCTGTTGCTCTGCATCCGGCTTGAGCCCCAGCAGCAATATTAAAAGCAATAGCAGCAGCAGCGGCGGGGCCAGCAGCCGCCGCAGCAGCAGCAGCAGCGGCTCCTTCCATGTTGCTGGAACACCCGCATCCGCGCCTGCTGCTGTTACCCCTGCGTCATCTCCACTCCAGCAACCAGGCGAACAGCCGCCACCGCCGTTACAACAACAGCAACAACAACAACAACAACAACAACAACAACAACAACAACAAAACTATCCGCAACACGCCACCGCGCTCACCACTTCGACTTCTACTACCACCACCACCACAGCAATCACCACCGCCCCCGCCGCCGCCAATGCGGTTTTCACCCCCACTCGCGCATACTCCCAGCACATCAAGTCCGACAGGCAGCTGCTCGCCGCGCTCAACACGTCCCCGCAGCAGTACGCTCGCGGCATGGCATCCGTGCTTGATTCCATTATCAAGATTTACACCGTTCATAGCCGTCCAAATTACACCCTGCCATGGCAGAACCACCCAAAACGGGAGTCCACCGGGACAGGTTTCGTGGTCCACGACCGACTCATACTGACCAATGCACATGTGGTGGCGGATGCCACGTATGTATTGGTGAAAAGGCACGGCTCCGGAACCAAGTACAGAGCAGGTGAACTGGGGGGGGCCCCCCGGGTGGCTGGCTGTCGGTGCTGTGTAGCAGAGGAGGAGGAGTAAGGGAGTTAGGGTTTGTTCGGCGGAAGGATGGGGAGAGTGAGTGAGTTGCAGGCTCTAGGGGGCGGTGGTGGGCATTGAGGGATTTTTCTTTTGTGTGCGGGTGTGAATATGTGTTTTGATTGTTCTATTCCGCGGTACGAGATAAGGTCGGTGTTGGCGGGTGCGGCTATGGCTGTTTCAGGGTGTGTTGTTTGGGTGGTGTGAGGTCCAGGGTGGGGGGTGCAAGGGGCCCAGGGAAGGGGGCGCGGGGCGATTTGCACGGCATGTTGCTTCATGGTGTGTGTGTGTGTGTGTATGTGTGTGTATGGCTATTGAAGGTACGGTCAGCCAGGTCCTATCTTTGGCCTTCAAAGGCGAGCCGGGCCCGTACGAGCCGGGTCGCGGGGCTCCTAGGGTCCAGTGCTCCTAAGGCCCAATGGCTCCTCGCGCTGATGCGGTTGCGTGTAGCTGATCACCTTCACCCGGGGGAAGCTGCTTCTCTTGCCCTTGGCAGCAGCTTCACTCGTTCGTGGTTCGTCTCCCCCCCCCCCCCGGGGACCCCTCCTTCGCACAAAGAACACAATAAGGCGGTAGTAAGCAAAGCTACTGACGACGTAGCTTCATATCAAGCGGATAGACGTACAGACGTACGCACATCCGGACACACACACATACACGTGTGTATGAATGCAGAGAAACATCCAACCGTGCGCGCAACCATGTTTTCACACCTTCCCGGCTTTCCCCTATTAACCCCACCCCACCACCACCCCACGTCTGTCTATTCCCCGACCATCCGTCTATATCTATCTGGCAAAATATGCTTTACTCGTCAGTGGTTCATCTTACCCCCACCCCACCACCACCCCACCACCACCCCACCACCACCCCACCACCACCCTCCACCCCCTGCCTGAACAGACGTTCAGGCGGTGGGTCACGACTGCGACCTCGCCCTCCTCTCCGTGGACGATGACAGCTTCTGGTCCACCCCCACCTCCATGTTGCCTCTGGAGCTGGGTTCGGTTCCGGAGCTGCAGCAGGGCGTGGTGGTGGTGGGCTACCCCACCGGCGGCGACAACACGTCGGTCACCAGCGGTGTGGTCAGTCGAGTGGAGGTGGCGCAGTACGCGCATGCAGCCAGCCACCTAATGGCCTGCCAGATCGACGCGGCCATTAACCCCGGTGTGTGGGTGTGTGTGTGGGTGTGGGGGGGGTTTCTGGGCGGTATTGGTAGTGGTACTGCGTGAGGTGGTAGTGGGTGTGGGTGTGCTGGGATGCGAGGAGAGGAAAGGGAAGGAGAGGAAAGGGGGTGGCTGTGCCGATGGATGTTTGGGTGTGTGTGGGAGGGTTTGTTTCGGGGCGGGTAAAGGGGAGGCGGGGTGTTCTTTTTGGTTCCCCATCATGGCAGAACTGCAGGATCGCACTAGTCCGACTACTGATGGGCCCCCGAGACCATCGGCGATTAGAATAACCGCCGTGTCGGGTTAAGTACCTCTGTCAATCCCCTGCTCCTTTCCATATACACCCGTTGTTTGCCCAACACGGAGCCAGGCTAGCCGCCTCAGGCCCCGGTCCTCACACGATGTGAACGCCTGCCCCTCTTCTCCCCCGCAACCCACTCTCGCCCGGCTGCGTACCTAACCCCCCCCCCCGACCTGCCCCTTCCCGTGCTGATGCACCTGCAACATGGACCACCCCCAACCCCCCGGCCCCGGCCCCGGCTCCTTCCACGGATTGCACCACACCGTGTCGGAAAACACACGCCCCGGCCACAAACGAACAACAACACTCATATAACCCGGTGCGGCACCGTCACACACGGCCGGCCTCTGCCGTTCTGATGCTGCGGATGCCGTACATGTCGTACCGCGGGATTGGCGAACTTGATATCCGCAGGGAACAGCGGTGAGTCGCTCGGGCAGTTGATCGGGGGCCCCTGCACCTGTATCCGAAATTCTCTAATCCTGGAGTATAAACGTCTATTTCTAGTACCTGCTTCAATCGTCTCAGTGGTTCGTCTTTCCCCCTCGCTTCCCCTGCCAGCCAACTGGTACACTCTTGCCCTGGCAGCAGCTTCACTCGTTTGTGGTTCGTCTTTCCCCCGCCAGCCAACCAGCTGCTTCCCCCGCCCGTTTCTGTCCCGCTGTGTTTTGCTGTCCCCAGGCGGCCCGGCATTGCAGGGAGATCAAGTGGTGGGTGTGGCCTTCCAGAACCTTCCCGGGGCGGAGAACATCGGCTACATCATACCCACACCGGTGGTGTGTCACTTCCTGGCCGAGGTCCGCAAGTACGGCTCGTACCAGGTACGGCAGTGCGGTTATCGATTACGAGTGGGGGGGGGGGCGGGGTGGTCTTGTGGAGCCGCCCCGGTTTGAAACCAGCTTGCCATTTCTGTTGTTGCGCACTCGTTCAAAATAGTTTTCCTGTTTGGTGAATGTGCCGGGTTTGGTGCGCAGCACAGGCCGGGCGGATAGCGCGCCACAACGCGGTGTGTGTGGAGGGTTGTGGGAGCGGGGGGGACAGGGCTCCCCCGGGTGTTGGTGTTGGTGTTGACCTCCTTTCCCCGGTTCGGTTCCCCTCCAACCGTATAGCTACTATATTAATTTGACTTCGGAGCCAAGGTGTTTTATTGTCTTGTTGAAGACTATGATGCCTGCATCGGATTGGTGTTTTTCCCCCTTCCCCCGAGGCCTAACACCCCCCAGGCCCCCCTCCCCCTCTCCAGGGCTACTGCAGTCTGGGTGTGCTGTGCCAGAACCTGGAGAACCCGCACCTCCGAGCGGCCCTGGGCATGCGGGAGGGCATGACGGGGGTGCTGGTCAACACCATTCAGAAGACGTCTAATGCGGCCAAGGTGGGAGGGAGGCGACACACACGGGGAGGCGGCACACCCGCCCGCCCACCGGAGGCTATAAGTCGATCCGGGCGAATAGGTGGCGAGGGGCATTATTATGTCATGAGCGAGGAGACCCACCCCGGCGAAAAGGGACCGGGGCGTTATGGGGGGAAAGGGATAAGTAGTTGGTTGGCTCTGTAAGAGTAAATGAAGGCTGAGGGCAGGGGCTCGTAGGGGCTCGCCAGATGCCTCCTGCGTGTGTTACTCCTCGGCACCCCGCTACGGCTGCTGCTGCTGCTGCTTGGACCCTTATCCTTGCGGGTCATGCATCACGTATCATGATCACCACCATCATCATCATCACCATCATCATCGTTCTCTTCCTTTCCCCCCCTAACAGTTTCTCCCCCCGTTTGTCCTGCGCTCCCCGCAGGTCCTCAAGCCCGGTGATGTACTGCTGGAGTTTGACGGAGTCACGATCGCTAACGGTATGTTGGGGCTGGGGGGGTGAAGATGATGAAGATGAGGAGGAGGATGATGATGTGGTGGCAGAGGGGAAGTACTCTTCTTGGCGTGTACGGGTGTGTATGGGTGGTGAATGCGCATCCTGGGGTAGCCGTTTTCCCCCCTTTGATAGCCCCCCTGTCCCCCGAGCAGCGAGTGCATCCGCTTCAACACCAACTCCTATGTGGCGATTATCCTTTGTTACGTGGGAAAGACATTTCCTTTACAGCGGCGCCCTTCCTGGTCGCGTGGCGAACCCTTCAAAGCCATGAAGCTGACCTTCCCTTCCCTTTCACGCCCCTTTCCGCTGGCCCCCTCGCGCCCTTCTCCTTCTCACCTCACCCCGCCCCGCCCCGCCCCGCCCCACCCCTTCTGCACCAATCAGACGGCACGGTTCACCTCCGGCAGCGTGAGCGCATCTACTTCTCCTACCTAATCACACTCAAGCCCACGGGGGCGACTGCCAAGATTAAGGTAAGGATGGGGGTGAGGGTGCAGATGCCCAAGAGTAAGGGGGAGTAAGGGGGAGTAAGGGTGCTGCTCTTATCTGTGCTGAGTTGTGCTATGCTGGGAACGTTAAGGCTCTGCGGCGAAATGACGTGATGGCGGGCAGCATGTAGGGGGGCTCTGCTCGGTTGCGAACGTTGTCATGCCATTAAATGGTGACCCACTGCAGGTATTGCGAGACGGGGAGGTCCTGTCGTACGACCTGACAGTTACGCCCAACGACCTGCTGGTGCCTGTGCACTGCTACGACCGCCTGCCGTCGTACTTCATGTACGCCGGGCTAGTGTTTGTGCCTCTCACTCAGCCGTACCTCCACGAGTACGGCGAAGACTGGATGAATACGGCACCGCGGCGGTTGTACGACAAGGCCTTGCACGGCATGATGCAGAAGCCACATCAACAGATTGTCATACTCAGCCAAGTAAGTGTGTTGGGACTTAGGGCCTGGCTCAGTTTTGAGGGGCGGTGTGAGCCAAATCAACACGTCCTGGACGCGACCTGTTCCTTTCCGCGGGGCCAACCTCTGCTGGTTGCACCTGAACAATCACATACACACACATACACACACACACACCGAGCCGAGCCGAGCACACACCGCTCACTCCCCTCCACCCTCAAATCGTCCTCCCGGCCGCGTTCCCTCCGTCCCCTTCGAAAAGCTTTTTGCATCGCACCCGACCTGACCTTTACAGCTCTCGAATCAACACACAGGGAATGCGCTTGGCTGCTTTCTCCTCCCACTTCGCTCTAACGACGGTCCTCAGTCTCGGGTGCAAATCGCCCTCGCCCCTGCTTGCTGCGCTTTCTACCTTGGGGGGGCCCTCCCCCCCTTGACAATGGTTCATTTTGCACCTTGCCCAGGGAATTCCCCCGCCGCTGGGGTTTCCCGTATAGGATCGCCGTTACCTCCTCGCCTTCATTCCACCCCTCTTTCCGCGGCCCTTCTCGCCTCCTCCTCCTCCTCCTCCTCCCGACAACCGCAGGTACTGGTCGATGACGTGAACACCGGCTACCAGCAATTCCAGTCGCTTCAGGTTCTGCGGGTAAACGGCACGGAGGTACTCAACCTGACCCACTTGAAGGAGCTGGTGGAGGGGGCCGCGGAAAGGTTTGTGCGGTTCGAGCTGGAGGACGAACGGATTATGGTGGTGGACAGGTGGGGCGAGGGGCGAGGGGGGAGGGGCAGGGGGGAAAAGAACATAGGGGCACGTGGGAAGCTCGAGCAGGAGAGCTGCACGTTCTGTCGGGGATATTAGTCATTGCCGACTTTTCCTTCTTCTTTTCTCCGCGACCCTGCCCCCATACCTTTGTCGCCTGTGTGCAATAAATACTCAACAGACAGAGACCAACCCGAACCAATTTAACCTTCCCTGGAGACCTGTGGAGATCTGTGGGGGCCTTGTTTCCAATACTTTTCTCTGCTGCACGTCGTGGCTGCTCGTGAGTTATTGATTGAATCGGCCCAGGTCCTCACATGTTGCACTCCACTCCTTTTTTCCGTGCGGTCTTGGTTTGCTTTGCCCTCTGTACACAGGTCATTGGCGCTGAATGCCAACAATCGCATCATGGAGCGATACCGGGTGCCGTCAAGCGTGTCTGTCGACATCGTGTAGAGGGGTTCTGACCTGGCTTACGAGTCCTAGGTTCAAATCCCCGAGGGAGCGTTCGTTTATTTATTAGCGGGGTGAAACGTGGAGGGACAGAGACGGAAAGAGTATATATGTATAATATGGGGGGAGCATTTCTACCGCTTCAGGGGCATTTGGGGGTTTGGTCTAGTGTCCGGAGTGAAGACGTAGACGTGGAGACATTACCCGCTCCGTTAAGAAGGAGCCTGTCGTTGTGAAAGGGGAGTTGTAAGGGAAAGACTGGCAGGTATTGGGCAAGTTTGCATGCGGCGCTTGAGGATAGCTGACCCGGCTTGCGCAAGGAATCTCTGCGCACTTCCACGCCCCGCGCGCGCCGAGAGCACCAGGAGGAAACTACAATAAAATGTCTTCTGTTTCTTGCATAAATATGTTGGTATGTGTTGGCGGAAAGCTGTGCCGGACGGTCGTCCGTCCTGCGGAGCGTGCGCTATGGACGGTCCCAGCGTCCGCCAGGGGGGGTATATGAACCACACACACAAAGTGAATCCAAACGTCCAATTTTCCTGTCGGCTTTGTCGTGCAGATCATTACCGAAGCTTCCACACGGTTCGCCCGCGCTATCCGTAGGAGCGCGTTTCTTGATGCCTACCAACCCACACACCAGCCGCTCAATTATCTTTGATTATCTTTGATTATGATTATCGCTGATGCTAGGTGCATGCAGGGCATTGAGATGCCTAAGGGAGCGTGCGAAGAGAGTTGGGCTAAGGCAGCGGCGTGAGAATTTAGGTGGTATGAGGTCGGTCATGTTAAGAGGCTGGAAAGAGAGGTACCGTAGTGAATGTCGATTGTTATCACCGCACTTGGACCTCATCATCATCGACCCCAGCTCCGTTTTGTAGTTTTGTACGGGTGGAAGGCTCGACCCAGGTTTTGTCGTGTGAGCCATAATCGCGTGTCATAGGTCCCGGTCTCCTCCTCCCTAGCCCTTACCACTTCCCTCAACACCAAAGCCCTCGACGATCCAAACCATCAAAACTCCCAACCACCTAAACCAACATCCCCAGGTGGGCCCCGTTATGGACACGGCCATGTGGGCCTCCCCTTTCACTTCCCGCCACTTGGACACGTTGAGCCCACTCAGCAGTTGCAATTGTGGCAGTAGCAGCAAGTGGAGCAGCAGCAGCGTTGCACAGGTCAGAAAGCGCCTTGAATGCGGCGATGAAGGCACGGGGACTATGGCGGCGCCAGGGGTTGTCACGGTGAGGTTCCGGCAAGTGCTGCTTGAGCTGCCGGCCGGCAATAATGTAGAGGCCAGCTGGCTCCAGGCTAGAACCCACCCCATCTCTTACTTAAATTTGGAAAATTGTGTCCGAGAAACTTCGAACACGCCATTTTGGAGGCGAAAGTGAGGTCCGTTCTCTGGAAGTTGTCATCCGCCACGATATGAATCAGGTGATGGAAGGCATTAGATTCCTTCTCGATAGCATCAATGGACTTTTGCGCCTGATAGGAAAGCGACAAGAGAGGCATGCCAAGCCGCAGGTGTGTACATCTGAATGTTCAGGGAGGCGCAAGCCGCATCCTCAGAGCTCGCAATTGAAGAAATCGAGTCATTGGCAGCAATATGGGGAAGGAGGACATAGGAGCTCAGCAGCAAAGTGAAAAAGCTTGATAAACCTCTGCTGCACCGAAGGAAGGACAGCAACCTTGAAAGCTTGGGCAATGTAGGTGAAAACGAGGCAACCAACTGAAACAACATCAAATTCAGGGTAGAGGACTAGCTACACTCACCCGTATGAGCTGCGCGGAGTCGCAAGCACGAATCGCACTGAAAAGCGGCTCCAGAAGCGCAGGCAGCTCCAGGTCGGGGTGCAGCGACGGATGCTGCAGCACGTATCGTACCACGCCGCCATAGTAACAATAAAGTTCCTCCACGGTGTCCTTCGGCACTCTGTCATACATCTTGCTGTGGGCATTTTGTGTGTGGGGCGCCCCCCGGGGGGAAGCGAGCGACTGTTTTGGCCGTTTGCACACAGGACAATTGCCAAAAGTGCGATTTAAATATCATCAAAAACATCATGATCAAGGTTTAATAATCAATTAAGATGGGAGCGAGAGCATGGTGGTTGTGCTGCGACATGACTAGTGGTCCAACTCTATGACTGCCACCCTCACTTGAATCTCGAGTTATTGCGCACCGAGTGCAACCGAAGCCAAGCCACCACCTGGCCGAAAAGTACGGAGCAATGCACCTAGCTAGCCACAAATAAGCAAAGCCACTGCACTGTAACCAAGCAGGACGCAAAAGTTGCTCTTCCACAGCAACCCACAGACAGACTCCTTGATACGCTTGGGAGTGCTTTGCTGCTTGGGTGCTTCTGGCAAGTTGAGACGCCGCCGTCCTCTTCACGTGAAGGATTGAATCCTTGCAATTTGCTTCAGCGAACAATGTGTGTAGCTTGCACAGAAAAGGGGGTGCCGTACACAACTTATAAAACAGCTTTACACATGGTCGACTTATGGCCATATCAACCCTGATTCGCTGTACTATTGCGTGAAACTCCAAGTCTAAAGAACGTTATAACGTACTTTCAGCACTAGTTGCAGCATGCACCACGTGAGCTAGCCCTCCACCCCACCCGGCACCTGTGGCAGTCAAGCAGCTCCTCATACTCCCAGCGAGGCATGTACAGCATCTTCGCGCCCTCTGTCCTCATCTCCTGCAGCCCGAGGGAGGGAGAGAGGGGTAAAGTGAAGCACAGGCGATTGCGAGGAGGGGTGATAGGACTACGTTCTGGCCTTCCTAGTTCATTAGGAGCAGGTACACTTAGGCAGAAACTAACGGACGAGTCCAGGATGCTGCATGTCGGGTGTGCGAGGTTAGAAATGGTACATCTTCTGGTCCCATCTCGGCCCAAGGTTCTTACCTTGATCGTAGCATGCACGGGTGAAGTTAACAGCACCGTCTGCGCTGCAGAGGTGGTGTCGGGCTTCACCCCATGTGCAAAGTACCTGACAGGATAAGGTAACGAGATGTCGGGGACAAAATGCACCCAATGAATCCAGGAGGTCCCGGGTATGTAGCAGCTGGGCAATGTGCATACCATACCATGGCCTGTATGCACATCATCCAGCAGCCCTCTGTCACGCCGGCACCTAACTGCCTACCACACATGCATGTATGTATATATGTAAAAATATGTGTATATCTATACAATGTATAAATATACATGTACGATTTAGATTACACTGTGGGTTGTTAAAGCCGGGCCGAAGCCGAAATTCCCATCCTCGTCCCTCGCCAAAACAACCCAACCCTGCAGTGCAGACGAGTTTAAGTAGTACAGCCCTTCTAGGGTCCCATCTCTCCCTCATCCGAGCCCTGCTGCTACCACCAATCCTTTACTTCCTGAACCCAGGAAACCTACGTCCTATTGGTGCTCTCTTGCCTTCCCCATCTCCTCCTCGGACCGCTGCACCAATATAACCCACCAGCTATCACGATTGCGAAACTGCTGTCTGAAGGCTATGTTGTTGCCGACCCGGACCTCGCCCGTCTCATGCGTGTAGCACCACTGGTGACCAGAAGGGGCAGAACAAGGAAACAAATGTAAACAGCTCCTACACCAGCACAGCATACAGTACATGTGTAACCCACCACTATGCCAGGCCTTGTGTGGTGCTCCCAAAGGATAAAGGGTGGTGGCGACGGGCTGTGCAGCAGCCGCAATAGCAAGTAGTAGAAGGAGAAGCTCTTACCAATCCCAATTGTCCCAGTAACTGCACCGAAACACAAGGGCAAGGGTGTAGCTTTGGACATCAAACGTGGAGTGAGTGACCACAACAGTAGAAAAGACATAGCGAGGCAGAGGGCTCCGGTGCTTAGAAAAATCTGAGCTGCGTTGTTCTTTAAGGCAATATGCAGTTTGAGCCTTTACTGTTGGAGACCCGCCTGCCGAGGGGGCAGGTTGGGAGCAGTAGTCCCTCACACCCCCTGACCCAGTGTGTCAGTGACCCAGGTGCTTCATTCAAGAGACTAAAGAGGGCAGGCAACACGGCAGGTCAGTGCCACCCATTAGACAATTACATGTCACAGCCAATAGCAGGGAAAGATGAGGGCCTCACCAACATGCTTATTATTCTTCGACTCAGAGAGAACCGTGAAGAGGTCAGGATAGCACTCCCGCACATAGAGCTGACTGTTTCTCCCATGCAGTGGGAAAGACACATCGCTGCCGCCCACGGTGAGCAGATCACCAGCGCCCGGCACTGCCATGGTACGCAACGTAGCAAAGAAGCGTGTGGCATCCTCCTCAAAAACATCCGCTGCAGAAGGAGCTATGGACGCAGCAGCTGTGGACGTGGCCGATTAGCATTCACAAAGCCGGAAGGTAATCCAGGGGTTCAATAACCATACAGATTGGTTAGGGGCCTTGAGGTTACCATACAGGGATTGATGCGCCACATTAATGATCTTCGGCGAGCCGTTATGCAACGAAATGATTGGTACCCCATACTGGCTACATATGGACTCAGTTAAGAATGATCCTCACCTTGATGACAATTGAACACCATCGCCTCCCTGGCTTTCAAGGGCGGCCTCCGCACTTGTGCAGAACGTGTAGCTTGTAACTTTAGTGCAACAACATTCAATCCCCGGGTCTGCGCGAGGCACGGCATGACCCCAAGCATATGCGCTGACAGTGTTGTGATATCGGTCAGACTTCCTGAATATTTCGCTATTATTTTTATGGTTCGTTGCTGCGATATGCCCGCCCGGCCGTCAGGGCGATGGATTCAGGGCGATGACCTGGATCCACTTCGCCTTGCACTTTTTGATACAGGGCGATGGATGACGTACAACCAAGGTCACACTTGGCAAGAGAACATAACCCTGCCAACTGATAACATTTCAGTATTCCTTTAATGAATGAAAGGAATGAAATGCTGCTAAAACATCCAGTGTTGGAAAACGTTGGTGGCTCCGCAATGCTCACCCTCTGATCCACATAATGCCTTGAGGAATCATAAGACATGATTGGATGGCGTCCCAGTAGCTTAAGTACTCAGTCCATTGCTGGCACAGCAAGCTGACGTATGGATGCGCGGGAAGCCCATGACCCAATCTCTTGCCGTTTCGGACATAGGGACCGTATAGGCTTAAATTCAATGAAGAATGTTGGAACAAGCCGTTGATTTGCTTGTTGTAAGCAAGGGTTGAGGCTTTACACAAAGAGGCTTTTACAAGAATGGAGTGGGAGTCATGCACATGGGCGCCCTTGCATGGCATAAGAAATGCGAAACATAGGTTGATAACGTTCGCTGTATGAATGTTGGTAAGATATTGTTCAGTATACCATCCTCGTTTGCTGCTGAACTTTGCTCGTGGGTCCGTTTTCGTGTCCTTGTCATTTTACGTGGTCTGGAGAGAATTTTAGCGATGAAGAGATAGGATCCTTTCCTAGATTTATGATCCTCATGATCGAACTATACGTTTCAGGGCCTGAGTAAATGATTCTGCCATGCGTCGTGAGTTCTGGTAGATATGCATGTCTGGTATTACCGGTGTGCTAACCCACGAACGCAGAATCGGAGTTTCCCACATGCAGCTAGCTTCTGCAATGGGACATGATGAATATTGAATGCAACATGTATTCGCGTCTTATCACGAATGCATAAAAAGACGCACGCGATAAGTCACGTCTGTAAAAGGACGCACGCTACTAGTGAGCGTGCTCATCGCTATCAAAGGATGCCGCACATAGGGAGCCTTCGCTATCCACATCCGCTTCTTTGAAAGCGTGACGCTGGCATTAAGCCTATACGGTCCCTATGTCCGAAACGGCAAGAGATTGGGTCATGGGCTTCCCGCGCATCCACACGTCAGCTTGCTGTGCCAGCAATGGACTGAGTACTTAAGCTACTGGGACGCCATCCAATCATGTCTTATGATTCCTCAAGGCATTATGTGGATCAGAGGGTGAGCATTGCGGCGCCACCTACGTTTTCCAACACTGAGTGTTTCAGCAGCATTTCATTCCTGTTATTCATTAAAGGAATACTGAAATGTTTTCAGTTGGCAGGGTTATGTTCTCTTGCCAAGTGTGACCTTGGTTGTACGTCATCCATCGCCCTGTATCAAAAAGTGCAAGGCGAAGTGGATCCAGGTCATCGCCCTGAATCCATCGCCCTGACGGCCGGGCGGGTGCGATATGTGTTGTGGAGCAGCATCCGTTTTCAGTTATGTCCAGTCAGCCCTCCTTTGAACCTGCCGTGTATTATTGCCCACGCCGATGGCAAGTCGGCCCCGTTTTATTGCCGAACTTGTCATAAGAAGCTTAACATCAGCGAAACAGAGCAGCCAACAGCACAGAGCAGCGACCTTGATACTAGGTACACAGCCTGCAACGCACATTTCCGATAGGAACCGAAGCCGAAGGAGCCGAAGGGATTTTTATCATTCCATTTGTTAGCCTATATCACTTGATTAGCGATATGCTAAATCCAAAAATTAACTACTTCACAGCATCGCGATGCGCAAAATAAGCGGTCTGGTTTACCTGATCCTCGTAGCGGCGTATTATACAATAATGTATAACGTGCCTTGTACTGTTTTAATATATTTGGACATCTTGCAAACGCTGCAAAGGCCACCGATATTGTACGAGCCGCTTCCGCCTCACTTCATCCCCTCACCGTCACGAAGACAAAAAGCATCCCATCAGAAACAAAAGGCGAATCGCTCCGCTTTGCTTGATTCCTAAGCTTGCCACAATCCCTTTCCGCTTGAAGATACACTCCGTTAACAACGCGCACTCCCGCTAACACAGCTCAGTTCTTCCGCTCACCTCCCGCTACTTCCATACCACGACCCTCACCACCACCACCTCACAACACTTCACCTCTCATCTGCAGAAGCGCTCACACCCCCTCAAATCCTGTACTCACGTACGACCCCTAAATGTACGTCGGGGGCACCTTTACATGTTTCCAATATAGTTCTATTTTACACGTCCTGCGGAGGAGGGGAGGGTCCAGTGCAAGGACACGAACGTACCCAGCTCAAGGTACGAAGCGCCATACACCTCCTCACAGCAGCCCAATCCTCTCACCAAAACTCCTCTCCTCATAAAGCATTACATCCTTTACCTTCCTCCCTCCCTCCCTTCCCTCGGTTCACTCGGTCGCGGTGATGCAGCGCAACAGCACTCCCGAATACTTGAAGCTCGCCTCCGTCTCGTCCAGGCAGTGCGCCCTCGCCTCATGGCTCCAGCCCTCTGCCATTACGTTGATGGTCTTGCGGACTCGCTCCAAGAGCTCGTTCACATCGCCAGCTGACCAACGGTAAAACTCCAGATTATGGCCGTCCAGCAGTACAGCTGCGACCTGAAGCCAGACGTCCGAATGGTGCCAAGAGGGGCGCGTAGAACCATGGGGCGTGGAACCATGGGGCATAGAACCATGGGGCGTAGAAAGCAACCAAATCAGCGGAGGGAGAGCCGTGTACAGGTGCAATATGGGAGAACAGGGGCCGCTTGTCCATGCGTGTGTTCGTGTCCTTGAGAATATCCGTACATGTGAAAATGCAAATAAAGGCAAACGAAAAAAAGGTTGGGAGTTGGATAGGAGGAAGTGATGTGTATATGTATCGGTCCCGCCACGCCCACGATCCGTACTTGCCCGCACAGCACTCGCGTGTACCCACCACCCTAGACCGCCGCCCATCAACACGGCGCCGCCATCCCTCCTGTCCCCCAACCCCGTCCCCCACCCCGCACATACATACCCCGGCACACAACACGCGCCCGCACCTTGTTCCCGATCATTCGGCCACCCGCGGTATGCGCAAAATAGAAGTTGTAGTAGTGGCAAATGAAGGCGGGGGGGTCCTCCGCCGCCAACTTCTCCAACAAGCGACAGTAGGTCAGACCTAAGGGGAAATGGGCGCATGGAGGCGGCGGAGGGGGAGGAGGAGGGATAGGAAGTGCGAAACCCCGCACCCCGGCGGGCGTCACGCGAGGTGGAGCCGGGGTGCGGCGGGTGGAGGGGGGCGGCGGGTGGAGGGGGGCTAGAAGATGGGGAACCATCAACACGGGCATGCACACGGCAAGTTTCCTGTCAGAATCCACGTATACATGCATACATACATACATAAATGCATATACAACTCTCCCTTTCTAAAGATTACGAGGCTCTCGACAACTCTCTCTGCCGTACGTCTTCCCATGCCGTACGTTACCTGGCCCATCCTGCTCCAGCTGCGGCGCCTTAAGGCCGTGCGTCTTCTCATACCAGGCGATGTCTTCAGAGAGACCTTGGGAACGTTCCAGACCTGTGTCTCGCAGCGCCGCGTCTGTTGTACGGCAAATGTTCAGTGGAGTAGTTGGTGGGTTACAGTCGCCGTTGAGCCCATACCATACCTAGGGGATGTTTTCCCCCGGCGTTTCTGGAAGTGTGGTGTGACACCGGGTTGTGTGTGTGTCATGTGCGGGCGTGCGCGTGCGCGTGTGTGGATGTCTGTGCATTCCGTGGAGGCGGACATTTGGGCAGGCAGTCGCGGGGAGCCGGTGTGTCACACACCCCTCCGGGGGCTGCGTTACCCGTCAAAGGCGGGCGCTGTGAGGTGCATACGAGCCCTGCGGGGGCCCTAAGGTCTAGCCGGAGGCTATCTGAAATAGGTCAGTATCAACTAAAACGATATGAAATGGGGAATTCTGGGGAATTAGGTGGGTCGTTCGTTTCGTGATGTGGGTTTTCCTTCCTTTATTGACATGCGCTCTGGCGCTGTCGACCAGCCGACAGGTGATGTGGGTCGCAGGGGGGGGGGAAGGGAGGGAGGGCGGAAGACGAATCACGAGCGAGTGAAGCTGCTGCCAGGGAGTGAGGGGGGAGGGGGAAGACACTCGACGTGTTCCATGACATGTGCTCAGCCCCTGAGCACATGACCTAGGTAGGTCGGCAAGCAGGGGAAATGAAGCGACTGAGCTTTGCTGGGTCAAGAACGTGTCGTGTATGTGCGCGTGGTTGGGGGGAAAATGCACATCATAGTGGGTTGGAGTACTTAGTGTCGGTTCCAACCCTACAGGGTTCCTGACCCTGCCGCGGCTCTCCAGAGCCAGAACCCCACTCACATTCATCGCTTTGCAGTACGAGGCGCTCAAAGGTGTCGTACACGGCCTTAGATTCCGTAAGAAAGCGCAGGTAGCCCGGAAGAGTGGGCGTCCACTGCATGCTCCAGCCGTCCGCACGCGCGCGTGTGTGTGTGTATGTGTGTGTTTGTGTTGGTAGGGGAGGTGTTTGAGGGTTGGGCGTGTGGGGATCAGAGGGGGAGAGAGCAGGAGAACGGCACACTGTGTTGCAGAACAAGATGTGGGATGTGGTCACAAGGGGATAATAGGAACTGGGTCCTGATTGGGAGATATGAAAGCCAGGTGGGCGTGGAGAAGCGCCAGGCTGGCAGGCGTGGAGATGGGCGTGAATGTTGTTGTACGCCGAAAGGTGCAAAAGTTGGTCTCAGGGTTGCGTCTCGGGGTGACGGTGGTGGCGGTCTTCGTGGCAATAGTGACATGATGATGGTAATGGCCTTGGTGGTACAAGTGGTAGTGATCATGACGATGATGTGGGGTGGAAAAGCCGCGCCCGCGTTGCGTTCGCGTTCCGAGAGCTTACCGGACCCTGCTGCTTCGGCACCTCCTTGCCGCCCTCCTTTGGTGCCTGCTCCTTTGTGTGCAACTTCATTGCGACCTTGCGCATCTCAGCGATGAATCCTACAGCGGCCGCGGAGATGACAACGTCGCCATCGAAAAGATGAAGAACGATGACAGTGCAACTGCGCGCGTACCCTTGTCCTTTTCAGTAAGTACCGCTGTGGGAGCTGGACCATGTCCATGGCCGTGACCGTGGCCGTGACACACGACGCGGACTGAACGTCGGGGTGCCTTGGCGTTCGGGGCAGCGCATCCCCGCGACTTTATACTTTGGATGCGTGAAGTTAACATCATTTTTGTCTTGATGTCAGGCTACAGGAATACAAGCAGTGTTTTGAGTCCAGTGCATAGAGTGGATGTCGCATTGGATGTGCCATTGGCCCAAGCTGCCGTGCATTTCTTGCCTGCCATAAACCACTGCACGTGGTCAAAAGTGAAGGTTCGTGGACAAAGTTCTGCTACTCGTATATTTGATTTTGATTTTCATCGGCCTCCGTTGCTAGACCGCCCTGAGCAAAGGTCTCCGTGCAAGTTCGAGAACGGTCTGCCAACGCGCCGCGCTAAAGCTAATACGATAACCCACGTACTCTATTTAGTCACGATTTGATTCTCAACATCATTCGGATGCGGGCGTAGTTCTCGCTTTCCGGAGCATCTGCCACTGGATTTAGAAGTCCAACGCTACAATGATTATTGCAGACGCACGCCTTTTGGTTTACGGACGTATATTCAGGCTTTATTTCATGGTCTTAGACGACGGATGTTTGTGTGCGGTCGAACGGAAACTCCTCGCAATAGAATACATTGGTACGTAGCTTGTGGGTGGCCATAGGGGGAGGCCACCGCAGCAAGAGCCACAACATCCCAAACACATTGTTACACTGCTTGTGGAGCTTGGACAAACCAACGTTGTTCGCGTGACACTGGCAATCCTGTTGACAGAGTGAGTTGGTCCGCTACTGCCTGTGCCACCAGACAGGCCCAGAAGTTATGACGGCGAGGGGATACACCTCCCACGGAACCTACTGGATAACGTCCACAACCTCACACTGCTGGCTGCGACATCCCGAGATAGGAACTTCCTAGTTTCATAGGCACCCCAACTTTGAGACGCCACGAAACATCTTTTTTCCATTTACTCTATACGTATGTGAGACCATAAACGATGGAAGATCCGTTGCAAAGTAGGAATAGCATCCCTGTTCCTACTTTGGGGTTCTTCCCCTAAAGGGGAACTTTAGCCGTACCTCAGGAGGTACTGGATGGTCTGCAGATCAGCATAGCCCGTCGCGTGTTTAATAAATAGGGTATGGCTTACCCGACGAGCCACAGGAAATGGCATACCGGTTGCTGATTTAACGGATAGATCTTTAAGAAGTCTGATATGGGCCCCTCCATCCCATCACCAACTAGACCTCGACACCAGGGGTAGGGGGTAACAGACTGAATGGAAGGCACCGGAGGTCGGCAAATCGGTTTCTATGGCTGCGGGAGGGCATAATATCGGTCAGTAAACCTAAAAAAATTCAAAGTCAAACACAGAGTTCAAATTCAGCGTGCTGCCCTACGGGCCGCAATAGAGGCTGCAAGCCACGTCTTTTGGCCAAGTCTTGGTCATTAGGGACCCGCAGCAGCCTTACGGGGCCTGATGCCGAATATCGGCTGCGGGTACTGTGGTACGGACCCGCAGGACCCACCTTATTTGCCGACCTCTGGAAGGCGCCATACCTGCTACGGATTTTTCACTGAGAGGCAACAATAGCCGCCTGCCGCCAATGCGCTGGGATATCAGGTAAGAGAGCGACAATGGCATTTAAACACTCATTCCACTTACGAAAGGTACAAAGGGATTGGAGCTAGTGGGGTCCATGGCTGGAGATATTGCTCCACTGGCTGATGCCACGCCCTGCGCATTGCCCTAGCACTGCTTGGTCCGGTGCGTGCATAAGCACCTCTAGAGCATCCCGCGCAAGAAGAACATCCCCCAACGTTTGCAGTGCCTTACAGCCCAGGAGTGCTTGGCAGATGTGAACAGACGGGTTGTGCTGTGGTTCATGCCTCTCTGGTAACGGAGTGTGACAGTAGTAAGCCTCGGTGCGATGTAACGCCGCCAGCCTAGTGCGCGTTATAACGGAAAACTTATTTCCGCGAGGGCTTTGCTAATATTTGATTGGATGTCGGGATGGATGCGCTCTAATGCGTTCCGCTGGACCATGGGCTGTTCCGACCCTCTCCGACTGTCCTTAATGTCTCCGAACATCCCAGTACCTGAGTCATCCCCGATATACTACATGGCCTTGCGTTAAAATTGTCGCCGCAAGATATGGCTCTGCGTTTGTATTGATGTACAGATCCCTGTCATCAAACGATTAGACGATGCTCCCTTTAGGTCAGAGGTGCGTTTCATAACATCTAAGACTGTACACAAGTTATGCGCTTTATCAAATAAATACTGCTCGAGAGTTTAGACGCCTTGCTTGCTGCATGGTGGACTGTACTGTTTAGAGGGCGGACTCGAATGGCGCATCTTCCTTTCACGCTTTCCTGGAATCATTACCAATTACTTCAAGATGAAAAATAACGCGCTGGAGAATTTACGTTCAGGCATGTTGTTGTAGTACTCTCTTACCCTTTCTTAACGTTACGCGCACAGCGTCCCTTCCTTAAGCTTTCGGCGGTGCCTCCCCTTTAAGGATTCGCAGTAGGTAGTTATTTAATAATGAGCATATATTAGTATTTCAATGCTTTTCGACTCAAGCTCTGGTCGGGGCAAGTGGGCACCCGTCTTACCATTACTTCACCCGCGTTGGCAACGCGAACTCCAGAACTGATGGGCGGTCGGAGCTCCAAGATAACAGTTACGCAATTAGGTGGCACCGACTTGCCGCCTACGGATGCGGCCATTCTTAAAGCTCTGGGTTCCGAATACGCCAACTCTAAGCAGCGTGCCTCCGGAAAAGTTGCTTGGGATTATCAGGAATACGCAGCTTGTAACAAAGATAGGGACAGTAACGACGTTATCCTCGTCGACCGAGAAAGTGCCGGGCAGCCTCACGAGATTTCGTCGACATCTGCAACTGGAAAGTCCCCAACAGCCCCGAGCGACAAGGCACAAGCTCAAGGTCAAGCGCAATTAGTAATTGTTGACAAAGCTTGCAAGCAAGAGGCGGGAGCCGTCGCAAACGTTTCGCCATCGGGCTCGCCAAGCCCGGAGCTGCCCGCAACCGGTACTAGTCGAACTGGCGGCAAGCAGAGCGACTCTCACACAAAATCGCCCTTACCTGCGTCAGGTTGCAACAGTCCGACAGCGGTTGCTAACCACAAGCAGAGACGACCACCAACTGGCAATCCAAAACACGTCAGAGAGAGCGCCAACGACAAGCACAACATGAACCATCCCTCTGGGCAGTCTCCAAAAGCAGTAGCAGCAGCAGCAGCAACAGTAGCAGCAGCTGGCACAGCAGCAGTAGCTGGAGCGGTAGCAGCCGCTGCCGCAGCTACAGCCGCCGCTGCCAATGGCGATACCCGGAACAGCGTAGTGGACCAGAATACCACCGCAAGGGGGAAAGAAAGCGCAGCGACGGCGGCGGCCCCACCGTCGAGCTCGGTGGCGGGAAGAGCAGACGCTGCAGCGGCGACACACGCGGGCGCGGCTGCCGCTGCATCCCCCAACAGCCCTTCAGCGGCGGCGGCGGCGGCGGCAGGGGGCCCCGTACAGTGGGTTATACGACCTGGCCCTCCCATTGAGAGCGCGTACAAGCTTGGCAAGGTGCTCGGACAAGGTAGCTTTGGTGTGGTAAGTGTGACAGTACCGGAACACGGCCGTCTTCCTGGGCCTGGCGGAAAATCGGGAATCGTCTTCCCTAGGTAACGGCAAAGCAGCAGCACGAGCAGCACGAGCGTGGCGGCGAACAGTGTATGAGATGTTGACTTGCAGAAGAGTTGTAATGGAGGCATTAAAATTATTTTATTCAGAAAGTAAGTAAAATTTGTGAATCAGGATTTGTACTTTATTCGGCTTTGATCGGAGTAAGGCCAGTTCCACATTTCCCCTTACAACTGGTAATCGAGATGTGCTACTCATCAGCTTTTGAATTATCAGCTTTTAATCATTTGCCCTTTGCCGTCAATTTGTTTGGGCGTAAGAGTGCCCTCGTCCAAGCATGTTTGTGGTGTTAGGCTTACCGCACACATGTACGAATACGCGCATGCAACCTACCCCTGGCTTGATCAAATTGAAGGTAACTTATCGCAAGTGACAAGATTATGATATAACGTCATACCTACTGATTGGAACGCGCCGTGCTCAGTCCTGGATAGTTGCCTTACTCAGTTGTGAGAGGGGGTCTCGTACCCAGTAGGAGAAGTGCCGTTCATAGAGGGTTTCAGCTGGAGTGCGACGCTTTTACAACTTGGGAATAAGCGCCTCCGAATTGAACAGCGTAATTTTCCTCCATCCGCGACATTTTCCCCAGAAAACAAGTTCCGGATGAGTTACGGAAAAAAACAATTGTGAAACATCCCAAGATCAGAGAAGCCCTCCAAGATGCATGTAAAATGCCTAAGATTTTTCATAACCTTTTTTATGTTCAAAAAACTTTTGTGATGATGTTTATGCCAGGTTCGCGCTGCCACTCATATCGCCACGGGCGCCGAAGTGGCCGTGAAGACTATCCGTAAGTCGCTTCTCAGAGCAGCTGACATCACCGCTCTGCGTCGAGAAGTCGAGATCTTGCACCACTTGGCTGGGCACCCGCACATCTCCCAGCTGCTTGGCGTGTACGAAGAGCCACGGCAACTGCATCTCGTATTGGAGCTGTACAAGGTATGTCGTGCAGTCTTACATCACGTGATCACTTTAATTAATGCCGTACCAATGCACTTACCAATGTCCACAGCATTTATAACCGCAGCACCAGGAGGAGCACCAGGAGCAGTAACAGGGCTTTTATTTCTGTGTGTGCGTATGTATGTGTGTGCTACACCACCTCCTGGAGTCACCGCGTTACCACCCCCAAAGGTGTAACCTAGGGGGGGGCATACACACACCTGGAGCCCGGATGAGGGGACCCAATGGACAGCTCAAGGCTATCCGCATCATGCAGATATATCGATATAAAGTATAAAGCGCACAACGGAAACTAGGTTGTGCGAAACTACGAAGTGCTAAGTGAACTATCCGGAATGTTATGCTGTAGCAGTCTGCTTGTTCATTTTATTTTATTTGATGCGATTTTATGTGTCTCCTCTTACCAGAACATTTCCTTAGACTGTATATATAGAGCCGGATTTTTTTTATGAATTTCCTTTTTTATGACGTCGGCACATTACCGAACCAGCCACACTCGTAATGCAACGACCCTCGACCCGTTCGCAGGGCGGGGATCTGTTCGACGCTATCATAGGTAGCGGCCGCCACTCCGAACGAACCGCCGCCGATGTCCTCCGTACGGTGCTCAAGGCCCTCGCCTACTGCCACAGTATGGGCGTGGCCCACCGAGTGAGTTACGGACGGCGGTTAGGAGTGGTTCGTTGCGGGTTAGAGACGGTTAGATTGGTTGGAAGATGGTTTGGGGTTAGCGAGCGGCTCTTGCAGTACGGAAGGAAATGCGTTTGGAAGGGGGGAAGGAAGGAGAAAGGGTTTTAGGGTTTTCGTGAGTGGTTGCCTTAGTTGCCGCTTAGGTGTCGTACAGACGGAGGGGTACCTGCGGGCAGGAAAAAAGCGTGTGCTTGATTCCTTGGGCGGGGGGAACCGGGTTACAGGGGGAGGGGGGAGCCGGGTTACCGCGTGCGGCTCTGCTTCTGTACGCTGTAACTTAGGCAAAAGCCGCAGCGGGAAACCCGTCGGTACTCTCTGACACTGAGAACTCGCCAAGTTACTCTTTCCGTCGCACTCTTGCGACTTAATCTTGCCCTGTACGGTCCCGCCGTACGCACCAACGACATTCAAGTGAGTTCGCTCTCGGCGAATACACTGAAAACCTTGGTTTCTTTCGTTTCACTGGAAAATCCTACAGTTTTATGGTTTGATGAAGGGAAGCAGAGCCTCCTGGGGGAGGATGGAGGGGAGGAAAGAGTTGAATGTTTTACCTGGGGCGGAAGAATACTTGGGGTCCATTTAAATGCTACCTGGACTACCCGGTGCAATGGGAATGTAGAAGCCTCACGACCCAGCTAAAAAAATAAAGTAAAAATAAAATATTCCAATAGGAATGGAGACAAGCTTATAGATACACCTCAAGTGCGCCCACCGTTGTCATCCCCCTCCTCGTCCTTCTCTTTAGCTTCCCTCGTCCGCTGCTTGCCTATGTCCTAAACAGGACATCAAGCCGGAAAACTTTATGCTAACCGCCGAGCTGCCAAAGGACTTCCAGGACAAGCAAGCACCGCCCCAGCCGCCTCAACCGCCGCCACAGCAGGCAACATCCGTTTCCTCCGGGTCCCGACAGATCCCCCGGGCAATGACTCTGGTCGGCATCGGCTCCAGGCTTAAATTGATTGACTTTGGATTGTCCACCTTTTGCACCGGTGAGAGTGCAGTGTCTGGCTGTCTGACAGCGAGAGTCTGTCTGTCTATCTGGCTGTCTGTCTGGCTGTCTGACTGGCTTGCTGCGTGGGTGGCTGGTTCTGGCTGGCTGGCCGTTGATCCTTACTGGGTATGCCACGGTGAGGTGTAGCTGGTGAGGTTGGCTGGTAACTAACTACCAACGGCGAACCTTCCGAAACCCCCTGCCGGCCGTTTTCATCCCCCCACTTCATCACCACGTTTCTCTCCGGGCTTTTTTTAACCGGGGAGGGGGGTACCGCTCGAGAAACCCTAAGACTTGTTCCCCCCCCCCCCCGCCGCCTGCCCTTAACCCCTAACTCTGCCGTACATCCTTAGATGACACGCCGTTGACCGACGTCGTGGGCACGTCGTACTACGTGGCCCCCGAGGTCTTGGAGGGCCGTTACAGCCTGCCTGCAGATGTATGGTCTGTCGGAGTTATCTTGCACATCATGCTCGTAGGTCCTTTTGGTGTGGACGGTGGGGGGGAAGGGGGGACAAGGTGAAGGGAGATGGGAGAAGGGGAGGAGGTAATCGATAAGGGGGAGGAGGGGGAAGGAACAGCAGCGGGGAAGAATGGCCGGAAGAAAGGAAAAGGAAGGTGGGAAACACGGGGGGGGTGATGTGGAGGATGTCTGACGATAGGGAGATAGGGAGGGCGAGGATGCACAGCAACCCGGGCAGGAAAAGAGCTTTTGTTTCAGAACTGGCAAAAGTGGTTGCATAGTTTTTCCCAACATATATTGGAAGAAGTAGGGTTGAGCGGCCTGTCGCAAAAGCTGCGCGATTAAAGTGCGCAGGTCAGCTCGTTTTTTTAAGCCTACTTTGGCAATCCAAACCGGACTTAGAACTTAGGGTTTTAGGATTTCATGAAATGGTTCTTCCCGACGACGAGGACAAGCAGGCACACGAACATCCTCATCAGTCTTATTACGTACGAACACCCCAATGGCATATAGCTCCTCAAAGCTCCAGACAAGGAAGGAGATTCCCTCTGGTATGTCACATGCCGTACTCTAGTACGAACAGACAACAACTTGGACTACCCCCCGCCCGTTTGTCATCCGCTTTTTCGCACATCGCCTGGCGCGCCGTCAAATAGACTGGCTATGCACCATTCGACGGCAGGGATGATCGGGAGATTCTTCGAGCCGTACGGAAGGTACGTTCCCTTTGTACGACATGGCACGGCACTGTTTTTTTCATCAATCACCATATTGCGTGATATTTTAACGCCCACCCACAACTGCCGCCACCGAACGGTCTACAGGGCAACCTGGACTTGACGAAAGATCCCGTTTGGAAAAGTATCAGCTCTGAAGCCATTGCCGTACTCATGGCCATGCTGGAACGCGATCCAAAAAAACGGTAGGTACGGCGGTGTCGTACAGTCGGGGTACCCGCGAGTGACAAACCATGTGCTTTTTCTCCTCGTGTGTGGTTTGTTTTTTGCTTTCCGAATTCCCCTTCCCCCCTTCGCCTCTCTTTTCCCCCTGAACCCCAGAGCCACTGCCGATCAGGTCCTTTCCATGCCATGGCTCGGCCGTACAGCCGATATTTGCGCGGCGCCCACCACACAGTTACCGGGCGTGGTCTCGGAGCGCATGCACCGGTTCGCGCGCATGAGCTCCTTCAAAAAGGAGGCGCGTCGAGTGGTGGCGGGCCTTATGCGGCCTGAGGAAGTCGCAGGGCTGGTGGCTCAGTTCCAAGGACTAGACGCGGATCGAGACGGCCGAATTAGCCTTGCGGAGCTGCGGGTACGGCATATGGTGAACTTTGCGGTTGAAGTGGTTGTTACCTGGTGGTTGGCGCCTGGGCAAAATATAAAATGCGCTTTGGTTGCTGCTACACAAAACATTTTTGGGTAATATAAAATCTCAATTAATTATATTTACACGCTTAAAACTTTATTAAATTTGACCCTAAAACAGCTTTTTATTATAATGGAAGCTGCCACAGAAATATAAATAACGACATTTAGGGCCACAGGCGCAACATATTGTGTGCTTGGGCAACGCCTCGGGACGAGTTCATATAAATTTCACAACGAATTACATTCTTTATGTTCCTCCATGTCGCTGTCATTATCTTGGGGATCCCCTGACCCGAAACCCTTTTTTTGGCTTTCAGGAGGGCCTTATTAGGCAATCCCTGCTGCGGGGGGAATTACCTGGGCCATCGCCGTTGGATGAAGAGCATCTACAGGAGCTGATGCGCAGGTACGGCATGTACGGCGGCGTGGAATACACGACGGAGGAAGGAGGGCAACCATGCGTTTATGTCTGTTCATAAAGAACGTGCGTTGCAAGCTTGTTGTAGTGGATAGCCTCACTGTTGCCTCATTTGGAAAAAAATGTTGCTGGTGCGTTTCCTGCACCATACTCCACCTCATCACTTCCAAAGAGCCAATATATCCACAAATCAGCATTCTTACCTTATCCTAGTCTTAAAGCCAAAGCATCTTCAGTCACGTTTCCATTTTTCGTATGTGACCCGGCAACCACGTCCAACCACACAGCAAGCGGCCGATATTTGCTTCGTAAAGGGGGATAAGAAAGCGCATGAATAAAAGAGGAAAGAGATGTAAAAAAATAGCTTAGCAGCTACCCGAAAACGTGTAAAGTACCTACTTTGTATTGTTTGTCAGATGCCTTAAGACCTGGCCGCCTAGGAGAGCCGGCTGCATGCTTTTTGATTAGTGGGCTGGTGTCAATCTATTCCCATCATACATAAAAAATGCCGCAATTAATATCAAGAACTATCCCTCAAGCTTTTTTCTCGCTCGCTTCATCTGCATGTAACCTCCGGCACCGGCGCCGGCACCATCTCGGTCAGATCCGATCTGAACGGTGACGGCCTTCTGGACGAGTCGGAGTTCCTAGGAGCGGCTCTGCCAGTCGCCGCGCTGGCAAGACAGCTGGCCCTGACGAAGCAAGCGGCAATTGCCGCGGCAGCAGCCGGGGGGGAGGGAGGTGTCCCGCGACCCACAACCAGCCTCAGCCAGCCGCCCAACGCCCTGGAGGCGGCGTTTAAGTACTTCGACACCGACGGGTCCGGGTTCATCACGGCAGGGGAGCTTCGTAAGGCCTTGGCAACGCATCACCCCTCTGGCAAAAGCGTTGACGTGGAGGTGGGTTTAAGGGTTTTATTAGGGTTTTATCAGTTTTTTTAAGGGTTTTATTATACTTTATTAGGGTTTTATCAGGGTTTTATTAGGGTTTTCTTATATTTTATTAGGGTTTTATCAGGGGTTCATTAGGGGTTTATTAGGGGTTTATTAGGGGTTTATTAGGGGTTTACTGCTGGTGCTGCTGGGGTGCTGAGACGATGGCGTCGATTACGTCCTGTCAAAATCCGGCCCGCTCAAATCTGACGCGGGGCTTCATTGAGGGGCAGCAGGAATGGGGGGCACAGCCCTGCCTGGAAGTTAGCTATATCATGACGCGGAGTGGTCATCCGAGAGGTTGTCCGTTAGCGATGGCAATGCAGACTCCTTGTCTCTAATCAAAATCCTTATCGCCTCGTGGATTACCAGCTCTTTTTGAGCAGTTTCAATTTATCTTAAAAGTTTTTCCAAAACTATTGGATAGCTGAAACTGTAGTTTTGGACTGTTCCTCTGTTCTACCGCTACTGCTTCCGCCTCTGTCGATGTAATTGCCCGGTCTGTTTGCCTGCATGTTTGTCTGCCTGCAGGCGGTACTCTCCCGTCACGACCGCGACGCCGACGGACGAATCAGCTACCCCGAGTTCGTGGATATGCTCGTACAGGACGTGGACGACGAAGGCGCTGACATGTACGACCACGCCGTACACGGCCGGCGGCAGCTGCAGCCGGTGCGACGCGGCGACGTCAAGGCGGCGGTGACCCCCGGCAGTGCCAGGATAATCTCTGGCAGCGGCGGCGATGACGGTGCGAGCCGTACGCTTCATGACAGTGCGCCAGCCTGGGACATCCGCGGGGTAGAGCCTGGCATCCCGATGCATACTACCGCCGCCGCCGCCGCCGCCGCGGGTAAGACCCCGTCCCCTGATGCGGGGGCCATTGCAGGTAGCTGTAGCTCAACGGCCGCCGCTCGGCTAACGAGCAGTCGGATGTCACCCCTGGAGTGGTCAGACGAGTGCGCAGGCGGTACGGATGATGAAGCTGTAGCGCCGGCGGCGGCGCCGGCGCCGGCGGTAGCAGCGGCACGTCAGGACACTGCGCCCGCATCTGGTAGCCGCAGCCGCATGCCGTCGCGCCTGTCGCAGCCGCAGCTACAGCCGTCGCTGCCGTCACAGCAGCAGCAGCGCCCTGGAGAAAATCGTGAGGCGCCCGCCAGCACCAGCACGCCGCAGGTTGCCCTCTGCGGCGGCAGCGGTGGTGCCAACCACCGAGCAACCGTCGGCGGTTACAACCCTTTCCCATCAGACGCAGGGGAATCTGGCAGCGGCGGCTTGTATCGCATGGCGGAGGTGCCTGACGTTTCCGATAATGACGGCGAACTGTACGGCGTCGTCGTCGGCGTCGGCAGTGGCGGCACTTCGCTGCCAGCTCAGCGGCCAACGCCGCGCGCACCGCCGCCGCCGAGGCTGCAGCTTCCAGTGCAGCCTCGCGCTGACGCTCGCGACCGGCGGCACTCCGCAGGCGGTACGGTGTACGACGTGCGAGCCCTCCTACCCACCGGCAGTCGCGGCAGCGGCAGCGGCAGCGGCGGCAGTCCACTAACTCATGCTGACATCCGCCCTTCTACACCTGTATCTCGCCTTCGTCCGGGCAACCGTGGATCAGCAAATCCAAGGGCATCTCTTGACATGACGCTCGGTTATAATTACAATGATCTTCAGGCAATTGCCAGGACCGCCATTGCCGCTGGCGGCGGCGGCGGCGGCGGCGTGGGCGTGGGCGTCGCCGCCGTCAGCCTGCCCGGCAGCCCTTCCACCGCCGCCGCCGTGGCGGCAGCGCAACGCTGTCATGGCCGGCCGGCTTACAC